TGTGATACCGTTCAGATTGTTTATCTATACAGAAACACCATATGATATCGTTCAGATTGTTTATCTATACAGATACACCATGTGATATCGTTCAGATTGTTTATCTATACAGATACACCATGTGATATCGTTCAGATTGTTTATCTATACAGATACACCATGTGATATCGTTCAGATTGTTTATCTATACAGATACACCATGTGATATCGTTCAGATTGTTTATCTATACAGATACACCATGTGATACCGTTCAGATTGTTTATCTATACAGATACACCATGTGATATCGTTCAGATTGTTTATCTATACAGATACACCATGTGATACCGTTCAGATTGTTTATCTATACAGATACACCATGTGATACCGTTCAGATTGTTTATCTATACAGATACACCATGTGATACCGTTCAGATTGTTTATCTATACAGATACACCATGTGATATCGTTCAGATTGTTTATCTATACAGATACACATGTGATACCGTTCAGATACACCATGTGATATCGTTCAGATTGTTTATCTATACAGATACACCATGTGATATCGTTCAGATTGTTTATCTATACAGATACACCATGTGATACCGTTCAGATTGTTTATCTATACAGATACACCATGTGATATCGTTCAGATTGTTTATCTATACAGATACACCATGTGATATCGTTCAGATTGTTTATCTATACAGATACACCATGTGATACCGTTCAGATTGTTTATCTATACAGATACACCATGTGATATCGTTCAGATTGTTTATCTATACAGATACACCATGTGATATCGTTCAGATTGTTTATCTATACAGATACACCATGTGATATCGTTCAGATTGTTTATCTATACAGATACACCATGTGATACCGTTCAGATTGTTTATCTATACAGATACACCATGTGATATCGTTCAGATTGTTTATCTATACAGATACACCATGTGATACCGTTCAGATTGTTTATCTATACAGATACACCATGTGATATCGTTCAGATGTTTATCTATACAGATACACCATGTGATATCGTTCAGATTGTTTATCTATACAGATACACCATGTGAAACCGTTCAGATTGTTTATCTATACAGATACACCATGTGATATCGTTCAGATTGTTTATCTATACAGATACACCATATGATACCGTTCCGATTGTTTATCTATACAGATACACCATGTGATATCGTTCAGATTGTTTATCTATACAGATACACCATGTGATATCGTTCAGATTGTTTATCTATAAAGATACACCATGTGATATCGTTCAGATTGTTTATCTATACAGATACACCATGTGATATCGTTCAGATTGTTTATCTATACAGATACACCATGTGATATCGTTCAGATTGTTTATCTATACAGATACACCATGTGATATCGTTCAGATTGTTTATCTATACAGATACACCATGTGATATCGTTCAGATTGTTTATCTATACAGATACACCATGTGATACCGTTCAGATTGTTTATCTATATAGATACACCATGTGATATCGTTCAGATTGTTTATCTATACAGATACACCATGTGATATCGTTCAGATTGTTTATCTATACAGATACACCATGTGATATGTTGATATACACCATGTGATATCGTTCAGATTGTTTCTCTCTGAAGAGCAAACGTCTGAACTCCAGAAACAGTGTGTAATATAGTGATACACCATGTGATATCGTTCAGATTGTTTATCTATACAGATACACCATGTGATATCGTTCAGATTGTTTATCTATACAGATACACCATGTGATATCGTTCAGATTGTTTATCTATACAGATACACCATGTGATATCGTTCAGAATGTTTATCTATACAGATACACCATGTGATATCGTTCAGATTGTTTATCTATACAGATACACCATGTGATATCGTTCAGATTGTTTATCTATACAGATACACCATGTGATACCGTTCAGATTGTTTATCTATACAGATACACCATGTGATACCGTTCAGATTGTTTATCTATACAGATACACCATGTGATATCGTTCAGATTGTTTATCTATACAGATACACCATGTGATATCGTTCAGATTGTTTATCTATACAGATACACCATGTGATACCGTTCAGATTGTTTATCTATACAGATACACCATGTGATATCGTTCAGATTGTTTATCTATACAGATACACCATGTGATACCGTTCAGATTGTTTATCTATACAGATACACCATGTGATACCGTTCAGATTGTTTATCTATACAGATACACCATGTGATATCGTTCAGATTGTTTATCTATACAGATACACAATGTGATACCGTTCAGATTGTTTATCTATACAGATACACCATGTGGTATCGTTCAGATTGTTTATCTATACAGATACACCATGTGATATCGTTCAGATTGTTTATCTATACAGATACACCATGTAATATCGTTCATATTGTTTATCTATACAGATACACATGTGATATGTGATATCGTTCAGATACATTGTTTATCTATACAGATACACCATGTGATATCGTTCAGATTGTTTATCTATACAGATACACCATGTGATATCGTTCAGATTGTTTATCTATACAGATACACCATGTGGAATATCGTTCAGATTGTTTATCTATACAGATACACCATGTGATATCGTTCAGATTGTTTATCTATACAGATTCACCATGTGATATCGTTCAGATTGTTTATCTATACAGATACACCATGTGATACCGTTCAGATTGTTTATCTATACAGATACACCATGTGATATCGTTCAGATTGTTTATCTATACAGATACACCATGTGATATCGTTCAGATTGTTTATCTATACAGATACACCATGTGATATCGTTCAGATTGTTTATCTATACAGATACACCATGTGATACCGTTCAGATTGTTTATCTATACAGATACACCATGTGATATCGTTCAGATTGTTTATCTATACAGATACACCATGTGATACCGTTCAGATTGTTTATCTATACAGATACACCATGTGATATCGTTCAGATTGTTTATATATACAGATACACCATGTGATACTGATACACCATGTGATATCGTTCAGATTGTTTATCTATACAGATACACCATGTGATACCGTTCAGATAGCACAGCTCCAGAGACTGACGTGTTCTTACGACAGGGTCATATCTGGAGTTAAACACTCTAGATTTTTGTTGTTAGTTAATAAGAATACAGTAAATAAATTTGTATACAAGTATAATTATATATATAGATAATCATGAAGCCAATCTAGGTGTCTAAAACACAAATATTAGATGTGAATTTTTTTCTAAAATGCATTGAAATTTATCATTTCCACAGAATTGCCCAAGATCTCACTGTTTGTGGTAAAATATTTTCGAAAATTAATTACTATTAACTACCATCGCAGAAAAAGCTGCATGTCCAAAGTGCATATAGGGCAAATGGAAGTAGGCATGGAGTATTCAGAAAAAAAAATTTGATAAAAAAAAACAAAACAAAACAAGCCAAGTAGCATTTTATTTAAATTGAGAAAAAAAAAATGCCTTGAAAGACAAAAAACGGCACTTCCTGTTTTTTCTATGATAAAATTGTTTTAATCATTGATTTTCCACACTTTGTATGCCAAACAAAAACTTCTCAAACCATGGGTGAAATATTTCCTGTCTGATCCTAAAAGTGTGTTAGGATTATTTTGATTCTGGACCTGTTGAGTGTTAAACAGTTAATGTGCACAACATTTCTATAAGGTCAGTGTAAGGGATTTGAGGATGGGTTGGTGAAATGGAGTCACAGTCTTCGTTCAGGTCAAGTTGGTAACAGATAGAGTTATGGCCCTTTATTGATGGATATTACAAGTCAGAAACAGCAAGAGTTATGGCCCTTTATCGATGGATATTACAAGTCAGAAACAGCAAGAGTTATGGCCCTTTATTGATGGATATTACAAGTCAAAAACATTAAGAGTTATTGTCCTTTATTGATGGATATTACAAGTCAGTTACAGTGGGAGTTATGGCCCTTTATTGATGGATATTACAAGTCAGTAACAGCAAGAGTTATGGCCCTTTATTGATGGATATTACAAGTCAGTAACAACAAGAGTTATGGCCCTTTATTGATGGATATTACAAGTCAGTAACAGCGAGAGTTATTGTCCTTTATTGATGGATGTTACAAGTCAGTAACAACAAGATATGGCCGTTTATTGATGGATATTACAAGTCGATGACAGCAAGAGTTATGGCCCTTTATTTGTGGTTATAACAAGTCAGTAACAGCAAGAGTTATGGGTCTTTATTGATTGAGATTACAAGTCAGTAACAGCGAGATTTATGGTCCTTTATTCATAAATATTACAAGTCATAGCCCATGTCAGACAATTAGCCCATGTCAGACAATTAGCCCATGTCAGGCTATTAGCCCATGTCAGACAATTAGCCCATGTTAGACAATTAGCCCATGTCGGGCAATTAGCCCATGTCGGGCAATTAGCCCATGTCAGACAATTAGCCCATGTCAGGCAATTAGCCCATGTCATGTCAGGCAATTAGCCCATGTCAGGCAATTAGCCCATGTCAGACAATTAGCCCATGTCAGGCAATTAGCCCATGTCAGGCAATTAGCCCATGTCAGGCAATTAGCCCATGTCAGGCAATTAGCCCATGTCAGGCAATTAGCCCATGTCAGACAATTAGCCCATGTCAGACAATTAGCCCATGTCAGACAATTTGCCCATGTCAGGCAATTAGCCCATGTCAGACAATTAGCCCATGTCAGACAATTAGCCCATGTCAGGCAATTTGCCCCAATTTGCCCATGTCAGACAAGGAGCCAGTGTGAGACAATGAGTTAATGCCTGGTAGTAAGATACTGCAGTTTTTTATGATATGCCAAGAACTAGCTAAGGCCATATTTGTTGACTTTCATTATGTGCTTGTTAATATTGCTGGAGAATTATGTAGTTTGGATTATGCTATAAATCTAGTACATTATCAGTATCTTAAGAATACTCAACATTGTCTTTTCCAGGTGACCAAAGTAGAAACTGTATTGATACTGATGCTGGTATCCAGTGTAACACTGATTCAGACTCAACTTACATGTCCGTCTGGATCAGGCGGTAGCTGCCAGTACACAAATATTGGTCTCGTGCCTACAGATAACCAGCTGCCAAACCAACACTATTACATTGGAGGATTGTTCGGAGTCCATGACCGTGCGCTGGATGCTTACTCCTGTCAGGATGCTCCGATACGTGAACGTGGGCTTCTGAATATGGAAGCATTTCATTGGGCAATCAAGGAATACGGCACAGGACAAAATATCTCCATTGGAGGAGTAGCCCTTGATTCATGTTCACGTGTAGAACAAACCATTGAAAACATTCTGAGTTTTGAAACATGTAAAGTTGGTTTTGGTAATTTGAATGCTGTTTCACCGCGAAACCTGCTGGCTTATGTTGGACCAGACAGGAGTACGGAGGCAATGGCTGTGGCAACGTTACTGAAGGACATGAACAAGACTCAGGTCACCCACGCGGCCACCTCCCCAGATCTGAATGATCCTGACATGTATCCATTCTTCTTAAGAGCTGTCCCATCTGATGAACATGATGCTACGATTATTGCAAAGATGTTACAAACGCTGAATATACGATACGTCCTTGGCGTTTACCTTGGTAATTCTTATGGTCGTGGTGGATTTGAGGCTCTTAAATCAAAACTCGAGGGAACTTGCATGGTTTATGAGACAGAGATGCCAGTTATGGCCACAGATGATCAGCTGGAAGCCATCGCTGATGAGCTCATTCAGAGGGAGGCCACACGATATGTTGTTGTTTATGCTGATGCAGCAAATGCCAGAAAATTGTTGAATGCTGTTCAAACTAGAGATACCACCAAGGTACAGAATTTGTATTTCATAGGAACTTCTTCCTGGGCTGATAATACAGCTGTCACTGATAATTTATATGTGAATGCATACACACTTGATTTGACCACACCTGCAGGCCAGCTGACAACTGATGTAGCCAAGTTTTACCAGTACCTGAACACTGTGAAGCCGAGCACAAACTCCTGGAACCCATGGTTTCAGGGTTATTGGAATGACAAGCTACAGTGTGGACAACGCACCTGTAACGAGGCTTCTGACAGTTTGACAGGACGCTACACACCTGATGTTTACGTCCCGTATACAATACTAGCTGTCAGGTCCATCATTGAAGGTGTAAGAATGGCTGCCTTGGCTGCATGTGGGAAATATGATCTCTGTTCCAATTTGTTGAACCAGGAAAATAGAGGCCAAAGGATTTATGGAGCAATTGGTGACACAACCTTCTTTAATAATAGAGAGCTTGCAAACAACTACATATCTTACAGAATCCTCAAGTTTCAAGTCAGTACTGGATATACAGAGGTAGGTACACACATACCAAGACAGGCTAGGTGATGTACTGAGGGAGGTTAGGTGATGTACTGAGAGAGGCTAGGTGATATATGGAGGGAGGTTAGGTGATGTACTGAGGAAGGTTAGGTGATGTACTGAGAGAGGTTAGGTGATGTACTGAGAGAGGTTAGGTGATGTACTGAGGGAGGTTAGGTGATGTACTGAGAGAGGTTAGGTGATGTACTGAGGGAGGTTAGGTGATGTACTGAGGAAGGCTAGGTGATGTACTGAGGAAGGTTAGGTGATGTACTGAGAGAGGTTAGGTGATGTACTGAGAGAGGTTAGGTGATGTACTGAGGGAGGTTATGTGATGTGCTGAGGGAGGTTAGGTGATGTACTGAATATCTGAAGGAAGGTTATGTGATATGTGGAGGGAGGTTAGGTGATATATGGAGGGAGGTTAGGTGATATCTGGAGGGTAGTTAGGTGATATTTAAAGGGAGTTTGATGAACCACCCTCCAGATATCACCTAAACAAGGATAATTATATTATTGGGAGAGACATATCTACAGATATTTTCTTGTTCTGTAATATGTTCACTGCTGTTTACTTTAGTGTTGATCTCCTGTTACTTAATCTGTTGTAGGTTGGGACGTATGCACCTGGTTCTGGTTCACCACTCAATATGGCCGCCCAGCCTGCCCTATCTAACTCCTGTCCGGATTCTCCCTGTCTGGTGTGTGGAGAAGTGCCACCCTCCCCCAGCACCACCACTGTCAGAACAACAGCGGCACCAGTGGTGACCACAACAGACCCTACTGAGGGTGGGAAATACAAATTCATAAGGTTTATGGCTGGTCAACACTTTACAGGTGTGTACTCCAGTAGCATACGCATGGACAATGAGTATGGAACCAGATTTGACATTGGACAGAAATGGATCATTGCTCTCGGGGTTCTTGCTGGCGTTGGCTGTGTGGCTGTCCTTGTGTTTGAAATTTACATTCTTTTCAAACTGCTTGGAACACGAATAGGCCGTCAGTGGAGAACGATGTGGCTCGGACAACTGTTGCTGTTTGGTATCTTCCTATCTTACCTCACGCTTTTTGCATTTCTGTTCATCCCGACGAAAGCTACCTGTGGAATCATCAGATTTGGAATCGGAGTTTCCTATGCAACTATTTACTCTGTACTGCTAGTTAAACTGATGGTCATTCTCACCTCCACAACGTCAGAGTCACTGATTCCAGGCGACGTCGAATCTCCAAATTATCTCAAGGGCATTTATCAGTTCTTGATGTTTATTTTCGCAGTTGGTGTTCAAATGGTCATCGATGTCCAGTGGCTAATCCAAGTGCCTCCAGAGGCAGTCAAGGTGATGACAAATGGTGGAGAGGTAGCCTGGGTTTGTAACCACTTTACATGGTCAGTAGATCATGGCTGGGGTGACATGGAAAACTTTGTACGCAGCGAGTTTGAAAACCACTTATTATCCCTGGTTTATGTCATGTTCCTTATTGTCATAACAACCATTGTTGCCATGCGTGCCCATGGAATCATTACAAATCACCGTGAAAGCGTTTTTATTGGGATTGTGGCGGGTTTCTCCATCCCCATCTGGATCGCTTGGGGGCTGGTTGGTGGCCTCAACAAGAAGCTGGATGATGGCCATCAGTTTGGAGATGCCTGTCTGGCGTTTGGGTTATTCATTGTTGCCACTTTGGCGTTGTTTTCCATGTTCCTGCCCAAGGTGAGACAACTCATCAATATGGGTGTAGAAGGAATCTATTTGGAGGACGACCGTGACACTTACTACAATGGATCAGTGATCATGGCTCCTCCCAGTTACAAAAGCCGGCCAAGTTCTGTTGTATACGCCAACTCAGGAGGTGTTTACAGTGATCCTATCATTATTGGTAATGGAGGCGACCCAAGTAAGTATCTACAGATAAGTCCTATTAATGTGTAGTTTTACAGTGAAGTTTGAAATGCTGTGCAGCCAGGAAATAGTGATAAAAATTTGGTAATATTTATCCTATTTCTGTTGTATAGATGCAGTTCACCTCAAACACCCTGGATCAGGGAGTACATTGAGTGCTCCCATTTACTTGAGGAAGGGAGATAACTACGGGACAGAAAGCATCAGAGGTACCAAGGTCCTCCGTGTAACTGGCGAACTGACAGGCAAAAACCCCAAGAAACCTTCATCTGAGATAGGACATTATAGAAAAGCACAGTCTGAGAGTGGTACCCTAAGGAGTGAGTTTAACATTACATGTTATAGCACTGTAATATCTATCCTGTCCCAGTATACTAGTAACTTTGTCCATGAGCAAACAAATGTGAAAATTTCCTCACCACCAGTTCTAGTAGTTACTTTGTCTGTCCACACATCTGTTAATTTTCATCCTCTCGAGTTTAAGTAGTGACATTATCTGTCCTCACATTTGTGTAATATTTATCCCCTTCAGATCTATTACTTACTGTTTTTGTCCACACATCTGTGTAATTTTCATCCCCTCCTGAGCTAGTTGTAACTTTGTCTACACATCTTTGTAATTTTCATCCCCTCCTGTGCTAGTTGTAACTTTGTCTACACATCTTTGTAATTTTCATCCTCTCCAGTGCTAGTTGTAACTCTGTCTGTCCACACATCTGTGTAATTTTCATCCCCTCCTGTGCTTGTTGTAACTTTGTCTGTCTACACATCTGTGTAATTTTCATCCCCTCCTGAGCTAGTTGTAACTTTGTCTACACATCTTTGTAATTTTCATCTCCTCCTGTGCTTGTTGTAACTTTGTCTACACATCTTTGTAATTTTCATCCTCTCCTGTGCTAGTTGTAACTCTGTCTGTCCACACATCTGTGTAATTTTCATCCCCTCCTGTGCTTGTTGTAACTTTGTCTGTCTACACATCTGTGTAATTTTCATCCCCTCCTTTGCTAGTTGTTATATTATCCACACATCTGTATAATTTTCATCCCCTCCTGCGCTAGTTGTAACTCTGTCTGTCAACACATCTGTGTAATTATCATCACCTCCTGTGCTAGTCCACACATCTGTGTAGTTTTCATCCCCTCCTGTGCTTGTTGTAACTTTGTCTGTCTACACATCTTTGTAATTTTCATCCCCTCCTGTGCTAGTTGTAACTCTGTCTGTCCACACATCTGTGTAATTTTCATCCCCTCCTGTGCTTGTTGTAACTTTGTCTGTCTACACATCTTTGTAATTTTCATCCTCTCCTGTGCTAGTTGTAACTCTGTCTGTCTACACATCTGTGTAATTTTCATCCCCCCTGTGCTTGCTGTAAATCTGTCTGTCTACACATCTGTGTAATTTTCATCCCCTCTTGTGCTTGTTGTAACTTTGTCTGTCTGTATGTCTACAAAATTAAGGTTGCCTGTCATTATTATGGCGACTAACTATACAATAATTTTTGTCTTTGCAGAGGCAGTTTCTCACCAGAATCTAGGATCACTCTGAGGTCCCCGTATACTGTTTTATCAACAGCAAGCAACATTCAAACAACCAATCACCTTTAAGGACAAGCCCTAGAATAAGCATTTGTCAACATTGGAACTCGTACAGTTTCTAAAGTCTTAACGAAACACTTGTTCGATAGAAACCAATTTCCATAGTGTCAATAATTTTTGGACAATTTTTTTATGTGTGTTATGGAAACATTTCTGGAGCGAGAAACACATTGGAGTTTTCCACTGTAGGATGGTTTTACAAGGGGAAGCAAGTCTTCTCCTACACAGTGATAAAAGTGAACTCTTTGTTTTATCCCAACATTTGCTGTCTGGAGTTTATGTGAAATATCTGACTTAGATTATCAATCAAGTGATGTATATTACAGCTACTCTGCAGCAATTTTATTAGAAAATGTAATTAAAGGCAATCTCTTGACTTTAGATACAAGTGTACAGTTTTTCTATTTCAAAATATATCATTGTGGAAACAACAAATACTAGGGCTACAGATAAAACCTAGGTAGGCCCTTTCCTGTATGTCTCTTGTTAATTTTCTTTCTTCTGCATCACAACAAAATTTTAGAAGTTCCTGTGTACTTGTTTATTGTAGAGTAACATTTCAGGATGGGCTGACACCTGTTTGACAGTTTGATAGTGACATCACAGTATAACAGCTGAGGTTCTTAATTATGAGCCAGACATCAGAGCCTCTCTTTAGCAAAGCCTGCTGTGATTGGTCAAATTCTGTTCACATTATATAGAATATATATATATAATTTTATATTCCATAGCATTTCTACATGTACATACAAACCCTATACAATGTAAGGCCTACAAATGCTGTGTACTCATTCCAAATTATATATAGGATTCCAGAATGTACACACATTATGTACAGGTACATACATATGTGTGAACCTGTCAGGTACATACATGTGTGAATCTGTCAGGTACATACATATGTGTGAACCTGTCAGGTACATACATATGTGTGAACCTGTCAGGTACATACATGTGTGAACCTGTCAGGTACATACATATGTGTGAATCTGTCAGGTACATAAATGTGTGAATCTGTCAGGTACATACATATGTGTGAATCTGTCAGGTACATAAATGTGTGAATCTGTCAGGTACATACATATGTGTGAACCAGTCAGGTACATAAATGTGTGAATCTGTCAGGTACATAAATTTGTGTGAATCTGTCAGGTACATACATATGTGTGAACCTGTCAGGTACATACATGTGTGAATCTGTCAGGTAAATACATGTGTGAATCTGTCAGGTACATACATGTGTGTGAACTTGTCAGGTACATACATGTGTGAATCTGTCAGGTAAATACATGTGTGAATCTGTCAGGTAAATACATGTGTGAATCTGTCAGGTACATACATGTGTGAATCTGTCAGGTACATACATATCGGGTACATGCAGCTGTTTAAATCTGAATGTACACATGTACAGGTATCCAGTTGTGTCTGTACATTTGAATACATGTGTATGTACTTGTTTACATGTATTGAATTGTGCTTGTATACTTGTGTATGTATGAGTGCGTATACTTCCTTCAGATATTTGCACATGTGGAAGATAAATGTGTATTTTGTAACACTTACAAATAAATGCTGTGATGTGACATTTTGAGGGATGCTAGTTAATGAGAGATAGCAATTAATCTTGTGAAACATAATGACCTTTTTCCTTTCAGATTTCTGGGCCAAGAGGAGCTTGTTAATTTGTGTGGAGAGATCAGAAATGAGAGGAAATCTGTCTCACATTAGATTCCTCCTCCTACCCAAGCTTTCAATTATCTGTAGTTTATAAATCATTCATCCCTCTACTCAACTTTCTCCAGGAAAAAAAAACCAGAAAAAATCCTCTTTATAGGACTATTTAGAAAATAATGTTCTCCAATATATAGTTGTGTGGATTGTGAATGTTTGATCTAACAGATAACATGCGAGATTGATGAGTGTGAAGTCTGACATTTATATATCATTCACTAAAATATGTATGTAAAGTTTAATGTTGAAGACAAATTTTTTCAGTTATTTTTATATTTTTGATCATTCTAAATGTTGCTAAAGACAACAGTGGCCTAGCTTTCTTGACTGGGATATCAGGCTTCTGTCTGGGACACTGAATTTCAGTCTGGAACAATTTGGCTTCAGTCTGGGACAATTTGGCTTCAGTCTGGGACAATTTGGCTCCAGTCTGGGACACTGGGCATCAGTCTGGGACACTGGGCATCAGTCTGGGACACTGGGCTCCAGTCTGGGACACTGGCCATCAGTCTGGGACACTGGGCTCCAGTCTGGGACACTGGGCATCAGTCTGGGACACTGGGCTTCAGTCTGGGACACTGGGCTCCAGTCTGGGACACTGGGCATCAGTCTGGGACACTGGGCTCCAGTCTGGGACACTGGGCTCCAGTCTGGGACACTGGGCATCAGTCTGGGACACTGGGCTCCAGTCTGGGACACTGGGCTCCCTTCTGGGGCACTGGGTTTCAGTCTGGGACACTGGGTTTCAGTCTGGGACACTGGGCTCCCTTCTGGGGCACTGGGCTCCAGTCTGGGGCTCTGGGTTTCAGTCTAGAACACTGGGCTCCAGTCTTGGACACTGGGTTTCAGTCTGGGACACTGGGATCCAGTCTGAGACACTGAGCTCCAGTCTGGGGCACTGGGTTTCAGTCTGCGGCTCTGGTTTTTAGTCTTAGACACTGGGCACTAGTCTGGGGCACTGGGTTTCAGTCTGGGACACTGGGTTTCAGTCTGGGACACTGGGCTCCAGTCTGGGACACTGGGCATCAGTCTGGGACACCAGGCTCAAGTCTTGGATACTTTCCTTCAGATTGTAAATTAATGCCAACTTGCCTAACATTCATTTTCAACAATATTGTCAGTTTGAAATATGATCAAATTTAATGTTGAAAATCTGGAGATTTTTTTAATGCTGTTGAATCTAGTTTACTTGGCCATACTACTCTTTGGGAAACAAATCTGGTGACAACTTGAACAAACTTTGTAACACACGGTGGCCATACTAGATTCCTCTGTACAGTATTATGCTTGGGTAATCAACTCTTAATTGATTTTTAATAAATGCTGGCTAATTTATCCTATCTTTGTTTTAGTGTCTGCCCATGTAAGGTTCTGTGTGTACTTAGTGCTTATCATGTTTTATTATTAAAGATTATACAGTAGAAATTGTATATATTCACCAGCGTGTAATTATTGGAGACATGCCGATAGCTAAAGGAGGTTTTTGTTTCGCTCTATCTGCAGTTTGAAAAGTGCGAAGTTATATCTCTCAAGTATTTTTACCAGAAGATAACGGCGCTTTCAGTTTGTTTGTCTCCCCACATATATATGTATAGCAATTTTGTTTCCACTTGTGGAGAACCTAGATTATTGTAAAGTACTGCTTAATTATACATACAAGCAGGTTTTCCATTAAAATCATAACGGTTCATACTCCATTATGCAAAATATATGATTTTTGTATGAGAAATAAACAAATATATTGTTAAAAATTTAATTGTTATTTTACCACACAAGTCACTACCAATGTGTATCTGACTGATGTTAACTCCCTTGATTTAGAGAACGTGACTGAGGTTAACTCCCTTGATTTAGAGAACGTGACTGAGGTTAACTCCCTTGATTTAGAGAAAGTGACTGAGGTTAACACTCATGATTAAGAGACAGTGACTGAGGTAAACTCCCTTGTTTTAGAGGTAGTGACTGAGGTAAACTCCCTTGATTTAGAGATAGTGACTGAGGGTAACTCCCTTGTGTTAGAGATAGTGACTGAGGTTAACTCCCTTGATTTAGAGGTAGTGACTGAGGGTAATCTCTCTTGATTAAGAGGTAGTGACAGAGTAACTCCCTTGATTTAGAGATAGTGACTGAGGTTAACTCCCTTGATTTAGAGATGATGATTGAGGGCAATCTCCCTTGATTTAGAGAACGTGACTGAGGGTAACTCCCTTGATTTAGAGATGATGACTGAGGGTAATCTCCCTTGATTTAGAGATAGTGACTGAGGGTAACTCTCTTGATTTAGAGATAGTAACTGAGGATAACTCCCTTGATTTAGTGATAGTGACTGAGGTTAACTCCCTTGATTTAGAGATAGTGACTGAGGGTAACTCCCTTGATTTAGAGATGATGATTGTGGGTAATCTTCCTTGATTTAGAGATAGTGACTGAGAGTACAAGTACAGTGTCTATCAGCCTGTCACCATCTGATACTACTGTTACCCTCACATACTGACTGCTTAACTTTATGAATGGTTTTTCCATTACTAATACAATATCCCTTGTTATGTTTATAAACTTTTATTTCAGCACATATTTCTAAGATTGACCTATCACCTTTAACTTTGATGACGACAACCGAAATGTAATAAGATGCAATACTTGACAGTATGTTGTGTTAGATGTATGAACTAAAGCTGTCCTGGGGTTCATCACATATTGTGTACACAATATTATTATCCTAAAAGCTCAAAAATATGGAGTAAGTGTGACTCTTGACGGGAATGATGAATATCTCCATGTTAGGGTGACACTTGACAGGACTGTTGGATATCTACATGTTAGGGTGACACTTGACAGGACTGTTGGATATCTACTTGTTAGGGTGACACTTGACGAGACTGTTGGATATCTACATGTTAGGGTGACACTTGACAGGACTGTTGGATATCTACATGTTAGGGTGACACTTGATGGGACTGTTGGATATCTACATGTTAGGGTGACACTTGACAGGACTGTTGGATATCTACATGTTAGGGTGACACTTGATGGGACTGTTGGATATCTACATGTTCGGGTGACACTTGACAGGACTTGGATATCTACATGTTAGGGTGACACTTGATGGGACTGTTGGATATCTACATGTTAGGGTGACACTTGACAGGACTGTTGGATATCTACATGTTAGGGTGACACTTGATGGGACTGTTGGATATCTACATGTTAGGGTGACACTTGACAGGACTGTTGGATATCTACATGTTAGGGTGACACTTGACAGGACTGTTGGATATCTACATGTTAGGGTGACACTTGACAGGACTGTTGGATATCTACATGTTAGGGTGACACTTGACAGGACTGTTGGATATCTACATGTTAGGGTGACACTTGACAGGACTGTTGGATATCTACATGTTAGGGTGACACTTGACAGGACTGTTGGATATCTACATGTTAGGGTGACACTTGACAGGACTGTTGGATATCTACATGTTAGGGTGACACTTGACAGGACTGTTGGATATCTACATGTTAGGGTGACACTTGACAGGACTGTTGGATATCTACATGTTAGGGTGACACTTGATGGGACTGTTGGATATCTACATGTTAGGGTGACACTTGACAGGACTGTTGGATATCTACATGTTAGGGTGACACTTGACAGGACTGTTGGATATCTACATGTTAGGGTGACACTTGACAGGACTGTTGGATATCTACATGTTAGGGTGACACTTGACAGGACTGTTGGATATCTACATGTTAGGGTGACACTTGACATGTTAGGGTGACACTTGATGGGACTGTTGGATATCTACATGTTAGGGTGACACTTGATGGGACTGTTGGATATCTACATGTTAGGGTGACACTTGACGGGACTGTTGGATATCTACATGTTAGGGTGACACTTGACAGGGACTGTTGGATATCTACATGTTAGGGTGACACTTGACAGGACTGTTGGATATCTACATGTTAGGGTGACACTTGACAGGACTGTTGGATATCTACATGTTAGGGTGACACTTGACAGGACTGTTGGATATCTACATGTTAGGGTGACACTTGATGGGACTGTTGGATATCTACATGTTAGGGTGACACTTGACAGGACTGTTGGATATCTACATGTTAGGGTGACACTTGACAGGACTGTTGGATATCTACATGTTAGGGTGACACTTGATGGGACTGTTGGATATCTACATGTTAGGGTGACACTTGACAGGACTGTTGGATATCTACATGTTAGGGTGACACTTGATGGGACTGTTGGATATCTACTTGTTAGGGTGACACTTGACGAGACTGTTGGATATCTACTTGTTAGGGTGACACTTGACGGGACTGTTGGATATCTACATGTTAGGGTGACACTTGACAGGACTGTTGGATATCTACATGTTTGGGTGACACTTGATGGGACTGTTGGATATCTACATGTTAGGGTGACACTTGATGGGACTGTTGGATATCTACATGTTAGGGTGACACTTGACAGGACTGTTGGATATCTACATGTTAGGGTGACACTTGACAGGACTGTTGGATATCTACATGTTAGGGTGACACTTGACAGGACTGTTGGATATCTACATGTTAGGGTGACACTTGACAGGACTGTTGGATATCTACATGTTAGGGTGACACTTGACAGGACTGTTGGATATCTACATGTTAGGGTGACACTTGACAGGACTGTTGGATAAGCTACCAACACTGGAATCCAAAACAACACAAAGACCTTATTTTCATATATATTTTTATACAGATATCAAACAACTTTATAATACAATTATTCCAGCCATTTTGTGACCTGCACAAAATTCTCTTAATTTACAATGAAATCAACAGATTTCTGCAGGAGATGATTATACAATCATCTAAATCTTACATTGATTATGAGTGAGAACATGTTAACTTTATTCTGGTATTGTATGACAAACATTGAAGCATAACAAAACACATGTTACTTTGGCGAATGAAATTATGGGATAATACATAGTAATGTTAAAATAAATACAATAACTCCGGTCAAACATTACAAAGTTTTTACAAATAAATCTCACTTTATGATACACTTGTAATACAGGGTGACAACTGAACAAAGAAATTGTTTTCCTTTTCTGTGTTAATAACATAAATAAAGTTAATCAAATAACATGTAAAGATTTAATATATAGTAACAATTTCTCTCGTTTGTTGTTCCCTCAGGGACACCTGTTTCCAAGCTTTCACAAGTGTGTGATTTCTTGGTCTCACTAAATTATATATATATATATATACATCAACAATACCGAGTGATAATATATATATATATACATCAACAATACAGAGTGATAACATATATATATATATGGATATCCAAAACAACACAAAGACCTTATTTTCATATCCCATATTTTTATAAATTAACAATACAAAGTGATAACATATATATATATACATCAACAATATAACATATATATATATACATCAACAATACAGAGTGATAACATATATATATATATATATATACATCAACAATACAGAGTGATAACATATATATATATACATCAACAATACAGAGTGATAACATATATATATATATATATATATATATATATATATATATATATCAACAATAGTATACATATATATATATACATCAACAATACAGAGTGATAATATATATATATATACATCAACAATACAGAGTGATAACATATATATATATATATATATACATCAACAATACAGAGTGATAACATATATATATATATATACAGAGTGATAACATATATATATATATATATATATATATATACATCAACAATACAGAGTGATAACATATATATATATACATCAACAATACAGAGTGATAACATATATATATATATACATCAACAATACAGAGTGATAACATATATATATATATATACCAACAATACAGAGTGATAACATATATATATATATACATCAACAATACAGAGTGATAACATATATATATATATAACATATATATATATATATATATACATCAACAATACAGAGTGATAACATATATATATATACATCAACAATACAGAGTGATAACATATATATATATACATCAACAATACAGAGTGATAACATATATATATACATCAACAATACAGAGTGATAACATATATATATATACATCAACAATACAGAGTGATAACATATATATATATATACATCAACAATACAGAGTGATAACATATATATATACATATATATCAACAATACCGAGTGATAACATATATATATGAAGGACAAGTGGGAGACAAATGATCGTTGATATCACAGGGTCTCGGTCTCAAACCTTCAGGCAAATACTAAGCTACATACCATTGGGCAGCCTTTATGAGAAATGTGGAGCAAAATTACAGCATGATTGAATTGGTGCTCTATAAAATTGTCTAGGTACATGAACACTGACCAACAATGAAGGTTCCTTCCTCAAACATTCTGACATTCTAGAATACCTTCTACGATCTGCCTAGAATGAATGAAATATAAGTCTGACAAATTATTTAACAGTCTATAAACTTGATACATTCAGAGGATTGAATACTCTTTCCACAGAGACAAGACAAAGACTGATATTATACACATATTCAACTCAAATTATCACATTACAGGATTCATAGTTCTGTATCACTCGCCTGTTCTACAGCTTGTAAAGGAAAAATAAAACTGAAAGACTTTCTTCTGTGACCCCTAATAAGGAAAAAGGACATTCATTTGAACAAACAGACTTCCTTTCAGCAAGCTGCTGCCCATGTATTATATAAACTTTCAGGGTATTCACAAGTATTTTTTTCAAGAACATTATTGTATGTCCACCATTTAATAAGTATATATCTATTTATCATCTACTACAGAGGTAACTGGAAAAAAAGGAACTGTACGAAGATTAAAATTCACTCTGAATTGAAGATTAGTTTCAAACCAAGCTATTTGTGACATCCAACCAGTTTTTTCTACTTGATTTGTTTCAATCTACTGTTTGTATATTTTACTTTGTCATCAGATGTCACTTTCCTCACCACTGTCACTTTCCTCACCACTGTCACATCCCACATCACTTTCAAGTCCCACATCACTGTCACGTCCCACATTACTGTCACATCCCACGCCACTGTCACGTCCCACATCAGTCACATCCCACGCCACTGTCACGTGCCACATCACTGTCAAGTCCCACATCACTGTCACGTGCCACATCACTGTCACGTCCCACGTCACTGTCACATCCCACGCCACTGTCACGTCCCACATCACTGTCACATCCCACGCCACTGTCACGTCCCACATCACTGTCAAGTCCCACATCACTGTCACGTCCCACATCACTGTCAAGTCCCACATCACTGTCACATCCCACGCCACTGTCACGTCCCACATCACTGTCACATCCCACGCCACTGTCACATCCCACACCACTGTCACATTCCACGCCACTGTCATGTCCCACATCACTGTCACGTCCCACATCACTGTCACATCCCACGCCACTGTCACATCCCACATCACTGTCACATCCCACGCCACTGTCACGTCCCACATCACTGTCACATCCCACACCACTGTCAAGTCCCACATCACTGTCACATCCCATGCCACTGTCATGTCCCACGCCACTGTCACATCCCACGCCACTGTCACGTCCCACACCACTGTCACGTCCCACACCACTCTAGATGTCATGTTTTACACCACTGTTACATCCTACACCACTCTAGATGTCACGTCCCACACCACTCTAGATGTTACCTGCCACACCACTATCACGTCCCACATCACTCTAGATGTCACCTCCCACACCACTGTTACGTCCCACACCACTCTAGATGTCACCTTCCACACCAATATCAAGTCCTACACCACTCTAAATGTCACGTCCCACACCACTCTAGATGTCATGTTGTACACCACTGTCACATCCCACACCACTCTAGATATCACCTGCTGCACCACTATCACCTCCACACCACTCTAGATGTCACGTCCCACACCACTGTCATGTCCCACACCACTCTAGATGTCACATTCCACACCAATGTCACATCCCACGCCACTCTAGATGTCACATCCCACGCCAATCAAGATGTCACGCCCCACGTCACTCTAGATGTCACATCCCACGCCACTCTAGATGTCACATCCCACACAAGTCCATCACTGGATGGGATACAGTACTCCCCTCTCCTTCTTCCCAGCCAAATTTTTTAATTTCTGTTCATTGATGTACCTGTGAGATACAGGTGAAGGCTATTTACTGATGTACCTGTGACATACAGGTGAGCCTATTTACTGATGTACTTGTGACATACTGATGTACCTGTGACATACAGGTGAAGCCTATTCACTGATGTACCTGTGACATACAGGTGAGTCTATTCACTGATGTACCTGTGACATACAGGTGAGCCTATTCACTGATGTACCTGTGACATACAGGTGAGCCTATTCACTGATGTACCTGTGACATACAGGTGAAGCCTATTCACTGATGTACCTGTAACAATGTACCTGTGACATACAGGTGAGCCTATTCACTGATGTACCTGTGACATACAGGTGAGCCTATTCACTGATGTACCTGTGACATACAGGTGAAGCCTTTTCACTGATGTACCTGTGACATACAGGTGAGCCTATTCACTGATGTACCTGTGACATACAGGTGAGCCTATTCACTGATGTACCTGTGACATACAGGTGAAGCCTATTCACTGATGTACCTGTAACAATGTACCTGTGACATACAGGTGAGCCTATTCACTGATGTACCTGTGACATACAGGTGAGCCTATTCACTGATGTACCTGTGACATACAGGTGAAGCCTTTTCACTGATGTACCTGTGACATACAGGTGAGCCTATTCACTGATGTACCTGTGACATGCAGGTGAGCCTATTCACTGTTCCTCCAGTTGTGTTTATACTGACTACCACTAGTTACCTGTATATATGGCTGACATCAAAAGAGTCAGTGAATAACATTTCCGGTGTCCTATGTATGAAGTGTTAGTAACAAGTAGAGTAGGAGATAGAGGCCAAACAACCTTTCTATTTAATGTAGATCAAAGGTGAAAATATAGGTCAGATAGACCTCCTTTTAATACAAAACACACCAAGGTGAACCCAGAGCAAAAGTATCAAGTTCCAGTGAGTGACAAGTAGTATGCAATGAAGATTGAGTCCAGACAAGTTAATGCAAGGACGGATGGACACAACACGAAACTATAATCTCCCTACCCCCAACCCCAGTTCCTGGTGGGGCAGAAAACAAATCCCTCCAGTCCTCTCACCAGCTCCACAATTTCAGCTGTTCAAATGCTCTGAAATATATTTTCTAAATACATCAACATTACCATAAAAATATTTGTAGAAACTACAGCCTTCTTATTTAGAATAATCATCCAGGAACATTAAAACACCTGTTTCACATAAATCCTTCCTTTATAGTTAAAAAAATCTATTTAAAAAACATTCACACTTACAGTCAGTTAGATGCCCGAAACAAAGGGATATTTTCACACATATTTCAGTATAAAGCTTTTTGTTTCCGATGTCTTTTGTTCTATACTAAATAAAAATCATTATGTCTTAAGGTAACAACATTCACATCCATCATAACTTCCTTTCCATAAAAACAGTTGAATATTCAAAAATGTAATTTTGGATTAAAAAATGTTTAAATAATTTGTAAACAAAAATTGAAAAATAAAGCAGTATTTAAAAAAAGCTACATGATACAAAATGCTTCACTCCCACACCCTTATACGAGTCCCTTCCAAATACAGTACTGGGTAGTAATATAAGTTACAAAGCATTCTAATCCAATGTTTAAAACGTAGATCTACAATGACATTCTCAATACATGTAAATTCCAAATATCTGAATAAACATCAGACGGAGCACCTTATTGTTCCAATACAAACCTTCACAGTACAAAATCACTTTCAGTAAAAATGGCTGAAGATCAGGACCAGTAAAAATCATTTACATTTAGGCCCTGGGATAATTGAGGTATAAATAAGGTAAATGTAATACAGATCTGCTGTAAGATTTTCAGTACCGTATTTATATGATAAACAAACCCAACTTCAGACATAAGCACATCAACATATATAGCAGTTTCAATAGGAATGCAGACAAAACATTGTCCTGTAGTGTTTGGTGCCTGGTGAGTCTTAAGTATAAACATTATGAATATATCTAACTAATATCATAGGGCACTGAATCACTGAAGTACTGGTGTACAGAACTAGTACCTGTGTGTGTCGTATCACTGAAGTACTGGTGTACAGAACTAGTACCTGTGTGAGTCGTATCACTGAAGTACTGGTGTACAGAACTAGTACCTGTGTGTGTCGTATCACTGAAGTACTGGTGTACAGAACTAGTACCTGTGTGAGTCGTATCACTGAAGTACTGGTGTACAGAACTAGTACCTGTGTGTGTCGTATCACTGAAGTACTGGTGTACAGAACTAGTACCTGTGTGTGTCGTATCACTGAAGTACTGGTGTACAGAACTAGTACCTGTGTGAGTCGTATCACTGAAGTACTGGTGTACAGAACTAGTAAGTCGTATCACTGAAGTACTGGTGTACAGAACTCACTGAAGTACTGGTGTACAGAACTAGTACCTATGTGTGTCGTATCACTGAAGTACTGGTGTACAGAACTAGTACCTGTGTGTGTCGTATCACTGAAGTACTGGTGTACAGAACTAGTACCTGTGTGTGTCGTATCACTGAAGTACTGGTGTACAGAACTAGTACCTGTGTGTGTCGTATCACTGAAGTACTGGTGTACAGAACTAGTACCTGTGTGTGTCGTATCACTGAAGTACTGGTGTACTGGTGTACAGTATCACTGAAGTACTGGTGTACAGAACTGTGTGAGTCGTATCACTGAAGTACTGGTGTACAGAACTAGTACAAGCGAGAGTCGTATCACTGAAGTACTGGTGTACAGAACTAGTACCTGTGTGTGTCGTATCACTGAAGTACTGGTGTACAGAACTAGTACCTGTGTGTGTCGTATCACTGAAGTACTGGTGTACAGAACTAGTACCTGTGTGAGTCGTATCACTGAAGTACTGGTGTACAGAACTAGTACCTGTGTGTGTCGTATCACTGAAGTACTGGTGTACAGAACTAGTACCTGTGTGTGTCGTATCACTGAAGTACTGGTGTACAGAACTAGTACCTGTGTATCACTGAAGTACTGGTGTACAAGTACCTGTGTGTGTACTATCACTGAAGTACTGGTGTACAGAACTAGTACTCGCGTGAGTCGTATCACTGAAGTACTGGTGTACAGAACTAGTGCTCGCGTGAGTCGTATCACTGAAGTACTGGTGTACAGAACTAGTACCTGTGTGTGTCGTATCACTGAAGTACTGGTGTACAGAACTAGTACCTGTGTATGTCGTATCACTGAAGTACTGGTGTACAGAACTAGTACCTGTGTGTGTCGTATCACTGAAGTACTGGTGTACAGAACTAGTGCTCGCGTGAGTCGTATCACTGAAGTACTGGTGTACAGAACTAGTACTCGCGTGAGTCGTATCACTGAAGTACTGGTGTACAGAACTAGTGCTCGCGTGAGTCGTATCACTGAAGTAGTGGTATCACTCTCTGACTGTGGTTTCGGCCGTGTGTCAGGGCTAGTGAGGGTGGTTCTATAAAGGCCCATTTTTTCCTTGCTGGATCCTCCTCAACTGCACACACACTGCAGTATGGCACTTTGGGTAAGATCTTTTTATAGTCTGTGATGTTTCGAGTACCCCTCCCTATTAACTGTCGTGTACATAATTCCAACGTTCCAGCATGTCCAACAAACAACAGGTTTCCACCTACAACAAATTACAACAAAGATTTGTACACTTTGTATATTACCAAGTCAAAAGAAAACTGAGAGGAAACAGGTATTCAATGTTTGAAACACCGAATTTACAACTTTACGGAACTAGAAATATTGATATATAGCAAATCCTACTTTCATTTTTTAATGAATTTTTTTGCGTAAGGAAGAATTTTGTCTCGATGGAAAAATAGGGGATACATTTAGACAGTAATTGATTTACCTTCTAATTCATGGTTTTTAAGAATTTGTTTGGTAGACTCTGTTGATCTGGCATACAACACCTCAACTGGTTCATCTTCCTGCAGTTTGTCTCGAGGGTACTGAGGAGTGTAGGTTGTATCTACAGGGTAACCATGCTGTAGTAGTTCTGAGGGTGACATCCATCGTGGAACTCCAGCCTGGTAGCCTGTCCACTCATACAACCCTGGCTCAATCCTCAGCTTCCATGGTAAGTTAAACACTACAGGTAAATGCATAGAAATGTTCTGTCATTGCAGGAAAATGTTTTCTTTTTGTGGGCTGTGATGAAAAGTTGTGAAAGGTGTTCTAGGAGAAACAACAATAATGGTGGTGTTGTCATCAACAATTTGCTTCCAAGTTTTGCATCAAAAACATGAAGTCTGATTTTAACAAGATCATATAGTAAGCATTGTAGCACAACTATCATTTCTAGGATAACAAGATAAGATAGCTTATGGAATACTGGTAAACTGGGTTTCAAGTTTTGCACAAAAGTGTTATTAAGAAACAATAGGCCCATAGGGCCTGTATTGTTCAACTGGTTGAGTAGGCTTAATGTGCTTCATTTAAATTAAATGAAAAGCGTTTAAAAGATTTATGACTTTCTCTAAAATGTCCCGTCCCTTTATTATGTCCCATCCCTCTATTACATCCCACCCCTCTATTATGCCCCGTCCCTCTATTACATACCTCTTTTACTTCCCGTCCCCCTATTCCTGTCCCTCTAATATGTCCTGTCCCCCATTTTGTCCCATCCCTCTATTACGTCCTGTCACTCTATTATGCCCCGTCCCTCTACAACATACAGTCCGTCCATTACATCCTGTCCCTCTATTACGTTCGTCCCTTTATTATGTCACATCCCTCTATTACGTCCTGTCCCTCTATTCCCGTCCCTCTTATGTGTCCCGTCCCTCATTATGTCCCATCCCTGTATTACGTCCTGTCTTTCAATTACTACCCATCCCTTCTGTCCCTCTATTACATCCTGTCCCTTTATTATGTCTCGTCCCTCTATTACGTCCTGTCACTCTATTATGTCCTCACCCTCTATTGCATCCCGTCCCTCAAGTCCCGTCCCTTTATTATGCCCCATCCCTCTATTATGTCCCGTCACTCTATCAAGTCCCTCAACTTTATTAAGTCCTGTCCCTCTATTCTCGTCCCTCTAATATGTCCTGTCCCTCCTTATGTTCCATCCATCTATTACATCCTGTCCCTCTATTATGGCCCGTCCCCCTACTATGTCCCGTCCGTCCATTTCATCCCATCCCTCTATTACATCCTGTCCCTCTATTATGGCCCGTCCCCCTACTATGTCCCGTCCGTCCATTTCATCCCATCCCTATATTACATCCAGTCCCTCATGTCCAATCCCTCTAATATGTGCCGTCCCTCATTATGTCCCATCCCTCTATTACGTCCCGTCCGTCCATTACATCCTGTACCTCTATTACGTCCCTTCCCTTTGATATGCCCCGTCCCTTTATGATGTCCCATCCCTCACGTCCCATCCCTTTATTATGTCTCGTCCCTCTATTACGTCCTGTGACTCTATTATGTCCCAACCCTCTATTACGTCCCATCCCTCACGTTCCATCCTTTTATTATGTCCCATCCCTCTATTATGTCCGTCACTCTATTAAAGTCCTGTCCCTCTATTACTTCCTTTCCCTCTATTATGCACCGTCCCTCTACTGTGTCCCGTCCGTCCATTACATCCTGTCCCTATATTATATCCTGTCCCTCTATTACATCCCGTCCCTCATGTCCCATCCCTCTATTCCATCCTTCTAATATGTCTCGTCCCTCATTACGTCCCGTCACTCTGTTAAGTCCTGTTCCTCTATCTGAAAGGGTCAGATGCACCATGTATATAAAAAAGAAAAATACCAACATGTCAACACAATCAATCTTGAATTCAATAAAACTAGGGCAAAATATGAACAAAAGCAGACAGAGACTACTGAAAAAGTACAAGGAGAATAAGACCAGGTGTTCCAGAAGAGTAAGAATCTTCTGCCTCTTTGACGACACCCCCCATGTAAATCTATCCATGTAAGTAATGAGAACAAGGTATACAACAAAGGAACCAATGAGCAAACGAACATGTATCAAATATGTCTACCTATCTTACAAAAAAATAGAATATTTCTCAATGAGATTACTATGGCAACTGCCAAATTCCCTCAAAGTTTTCATCAACCTGCATCTTTTAAACCCCTGTGTGATGAAATTGTCTGTCAGTTTACAACTTCTTTACAAAAGCTTTACAATGCATGGAAAGCTATCCATGGTGGTTTAGTTGTAGGAAAAGATTGAGATAAGTGGCTGATAGAAGCAGAAGGGTCTGTCATGTCCTTGATTTCCAATTCTTGATGGTACATATGATGGACGCAGTTAGTGAATTTTTTTGTCATCAATATATCTGAATATGAAATTGAATGACTTGGAAAAGTCCTCTCTAACAAATTCAGCCTGGTATGAAAACAAAAACAAGTCAGCAAACAGAGGAGCACAGTAAGTTTACTTTACCCTAGGATGCTTCAGATCAAATTTGAACAAAACTGAATCATTCCAACAGAAGAAGGATATTGAAGAAGTTGCTATATTTTCCATATTGGGCCCCTCTCCTCCTTCTACAAGGGGCTAAGATCCTCATCTTAAACTCAGTTGATCCCCTTGAACATAGGTGACTGGATCATCTACAGGGAACACATGTGACTATATCTTCCATATTGGGCTCCTCTCCTCCTTCCACAAGGGGCTAAGATCCTCACCTTAAACTCAATTGATCCCCTTGAGGACCGCTCCTTCTGCCTCAGTGGGCTGAGAGCCACGTTTTGTACAAATTTGACTCCTTTCCAAACAAGCAAGATTCAGGCCAATTTGGGAAAACATCCAGGCATTACTCATTACTTTTTAAGTATTTTGCTCTATTTTCTCTATTGGGCCACTGCTGAAGGGGCTGAGATCCACAGTTTATACAGAATTTATTCCCCATCAACAGTATTGTGGGCATCTCAACATACCAAAGCATCTATTATCTACAGGGAATACAGGTGACTGGATTATCTACAGGGAACAGATGACTGGATTATCTACAGGGAACAGATGACTGGATTATCTACAGGGAATACAGGTGACTGGATTATCTACTGTGAACACATATGACTGGATTATCTACAGAGAATACAGGTGACTGGATTATAATCTACAGGGAACAGATGACTGGATTATCTACAGGGAACAGATGACTGGATTATCTACAGGGAACAGATGACTGGATTATCTACAGGGAATACAAGTGACTGGATTATCTACAGGGAACACAGGTAACTGGATTATCTACAGGGAATATAGGTGACTGGATTATCTACTGTGAACACATATGACTGGATTATCTACAGGGAACAAGTGACTGGATTATCTACAGGGAATACAGGTGACTGGATTATCTACAGGCAACAGATGACTGGATTATCTACAGGGAACAGATGACTGGATTATCTACAGGGAATACAGGTGACTGGATTATCTACTGTGAACACATATGACTGGATTATCTACAGGAAACATAGATGACTGGATTATCCACATGTGACTGGATTATCTACAGAGAACAGATGACTGGATTATCTACAGGGAACAGATGACTGGATTATCTACAGGGAACAGATGACTGGATTATCTACAGGGAACAGATGACTGGATTATCTACAGGGAATACAGGTGACTGGATTATCTACTGTGAACACATATGACTGGATTATCTACAGGGAACACAGGTAACTGGATTATCTACAGGGAATATAGGTGACTGGATTATCTACTGTGAACACATATGACTGGATTATCTACAGGGAACAAGTGACTGGATTATCTACAGGGAATACAGGTGACTGGATTATCTACAGGCAACAGATGACTGGATTATCTACAGGGAACAGATGACTGGATTATCTACAGGGAATACAGGTGACTGGATTATCTACTGTGAACACATATGACTGGATTATCTACAGGAAACATAGATGACTGGATTATCCACATGTGACTGGATTATCTACAGAGAACAGATGACTGGATTATCTACAGGGAACAGATGACTGGATTATCTACAGGGAACAGATGACTGGATTATCTACAGGGAACAGATGACTGGATTATCTACAGGGAATACAGGTGACTGGATTATCTACTGTGAACACATATGACTGGATTATCTACAGGGAACACAGGTAACTGGATTATCTACAGGGAATATAGGTGACTGGATTATCTACTGTGAACACATATGACTGGATTATCTACAGGGAACAAGTGACTGGATTATCTACAGGGAATACAGGTGACTGGATTATCTACAGGCAACAGATGACTGGATTATCTACACGGAATACAGGTGACTGGATTATCTACAGGGAATACAGGTGACTCGATTATCTACTGTGAACACATATGACTGGATTATCTACAGGAAACATAGATGACTGGATTATCCACATGTTACTGGATTATCTACTGTGAACACATATGACTGGATTATCTACAGGGAACAGATGACTGGATTATCTACATGGAACACAGGTAACTGGATTATCTACAGGGAACAGATGACTGGATTATCCACATGTGACTGGATTATCTACAGAGAACAGATGACTGGATTATCTACAGGGAATACAGATGACTGGATTATCTACAAGGAACAGATGACTGGATTATCTACTGTGAACACATATGACTGGATTATCTACAGGGAACAGATGACGGGATTATCTACAGGGAACACAGATAACTGGATTATCTACAGGGAACAGATGACTGGATTATCTACTGTGAACACATATGACTGGATTATCTACAGGGAACAGATGACTAGATTATCTACAGGGAACAGATGACTGGATTATCTACTGTGAACACATATGACTGGATTATCTACAGGGAACAGGTGACTGGATTATCTACAGGGAACACAGGTGACTGGATTATTTACTGGAAACACAGGTGACTGGATTATCTACAGGGAACACAGGTGATTGGATTATTTACTGGGAACACAGGTGACTGGATTTTCTACAGGGAACACAGGTGACTGGATTATTTACTGGGAACACAGGTGACTGGATTATCTACAGGGAACACAGGTGACTAGATTATCTACAGGGAACACAGGTGACTGGATTATCTACAGGGAACACAGGTGACTGGATTATTTACTGGGAACATAGGTGACTGGATTATATACTGGGAACACAGGTGACTGGATTATCTACAGGGAACACAGGTGACTGGATTATTTACTGGGAACACAGGTAATGGGTGATGTACTAGGAATAAAGATCCCAGATGAATATTAGTTGCCAGCATTGTAAAATCTTCATTTGTTGTTTAAATGTAAAAGCTTTTTCCTATCATTCTCGTCTTTCCTCTGTTTTGATTATACAGAATATGAGAAAACCTTCTAAAAACAGCAATGATATTACTTAACTGTAAAATCAAACACAGTTGCATTTCAACAATTTTGCTTCTTTGATCAGTCCCAAAATCAAAAAGGCACAACTTGGGACAAAAAAGAACTAAATTGGGAAATTTGAGAAAGATTCATCCATCCAGCACTTCTCAAGAAATAGAGATGACAAACTTTCACTGTCTAAATCCATGATTGCTGCCTGGCAATCATGTTATCTTTCTGATCAGTCTCAAAATAAGAAAAATATGTCCCTACTAGGGACCAAGAGAAACCTACATATTACGGTCCATCCAGTAAAAACCACATGAGTGCCTCTGCAAATTAACCCAAATATATCAGAAAATATTAAGGGAAAATGTCATCTTGCACAATATTCCCCCCCCCCCCCCGAAAACTGTTTTGGGATGTATGGAAGGCCAAGGGTAACACTTTCATGGTTGGTTGGGCATAAAAAGGATATAACTAGGGACCAAGAGGAACCCTATATATGAAAGTTGAGTACAATCCATCCAGTACTTTTCAAGAAAGAATTATTATAGTTCAGCAATGTGGATGATGGCAGCCTGAAAACTGAAGCATCAAAGAAATATCAAGTACATGATCTTTTCCTTACATACAAGATGACATTTACCTTTGAAGATCTGCGTAGCTGTCTGTACACATCTCAGAGAAGGAGAGCAGTATATACAAAACACTGTCACCCCGCTCTCTAAAAGGTTCTCAGCTGTAACAAAGAATAAATACATGAAGGTTTACCTGTAAAAATATATACCTGTATGTGATGTTTACCTGTAAGTGATATATATATACTTGAATAAAACATTCAGTGATATTTTCATGTATGTGATATTTAGTGATTTTTACCTGTACATGAAATTTAATTAAATTAACCTGTATGTGACATTTTGTGATAATAACCTGTGATATTTATCTGTATGTGTTATTTAGTAATAACAATCTGTGTGTGATTTATACTTGTATGCTAAGTTTACCTGTATGTGACATATATCTGTGATATTTACCTGTATGTGACATATATCTGTGATATTTACCTGTATGTGATATTCAGTGATATTTACCTGTATGTGACAAATATCTGTGATATTTACCTGTATGTGATATTCAGTGATATTTACCTGTAGGTGATATTCAGTGATATTTACCTGTATGTGATATTCAGTGATATTTACCTGTATGTGATATTCAGTGATATTTACCTGTATGTGATATTCAGTGATATTTACCTGTAGGTGATATTTACCAGTGTGATATTTCAGTGATATTTACCTGTATGTGATATTCAGTGTGATATTTACCTGTAAGTGATATTCAGTGATATTTACCTGTATGTGATATTCAGTGATATTTACCTGTATGTGATATTCAGTTATATTTACCTGTATGTGACATATATCTGTGATGTTTACCTGTATGTGATATTCAGTGATATTTACCTGTATGTGATATTCAGTGATATTTACCTGTATGTGATATTCAGTGATATTTACCTGTATGTGATATTCAGTGATATTTACCTGTATGTGATATTCAGTGATATTTACCTGTATGTGATATTCAGTGATATTTACCTGTATGTGACATATATCTGTGGTATTTACCTGTATGTGATATTCAGTGATATTTACCTGTAGGTGATATTCAGTGATATTTACCTGTATGTGATATTCAGTGATATTTACCTGTATGTGATATTCAGTGATATTTACCTGTATGTGATATTCAGTGATATTTACCTGTATGTGATATTCAGTGATATTTACCTGTATGTGATATTCAGTGATATTTACCTGTATGTGATATTCAGTGATATTTACCTGTATGTGATATTCAGTGATATTTACCTGTAAGGGTAGCCTGGTAATGACCTATAACAGTTAGTGGAGGGTCTTTGATATACTCAAGATGCGTTTTCCTTTTTGGCAGTTCCCGGAGTAAATTCAAATTATTTCTTTTGTAGTGACCTGAAAGTATATCAGTTGTAGATTGTCCAGATAAGATCAGGATAAAAATAGCATGCAGTTCCTGACCATTCTACTCTTGAAAAGTTTTATCAACAACAGGCCTACAGGGCCTGTATCATTAAAATGGCATTGTCTGGCTAAAATTGCTTCATCCAAACTAAAGGACAGGGAAATTATACCAGTAAATATACATACACACAACATATCTATTTTCCCATATGTCCCCATTACTCTGTCTGTCAGCCAATCATTCATGCTTGAAAAATGTGTCAACTTTAGGCAAAATCAAATTGTTCTTACAGGAGGAGTTGGATTTCCAAATTTCCCCTTTTTGGCCGAGATCCATCGCTTACAAGAAATTTGTTCCTCTTTATCCTTGGAAGATACTGATCCAATTTGGCCCAAAATCAAAGACTTTGGGTCCCGAGGGCCATGATTGAGGACTACGAGTCCTGAGGGACATGATTGAGGATTGTAAGTCCTGAGGAGTCATGATTCAGGAATATTAAGGCAAAGGGACATCATCGAGGATTGTCCTAAACACTGATCATCTATAATTTTATCTCTTCCAAAGTGCTAGATTAAGGTAACATTAATGTTGGTGTGTTCTACTCACCGTCATCATCATAACACATGTCAAACCATTCCTTGCCTAAAGCAAAATCCACACGCTCCCCGTGTCTAACAATATACAGCTTCCGTGGCGCCGATTTTTCTAAACCAGGTTTCTTCTTCACCTAAACAACAACAAAAAATTTGTTTGCAAAGATGAAATAATTTCAATCAAATCATCTTCTGATAAGAATTATCAAAAATATCTTGATTCATCCACTCAGGCGAGTAAAAATATCTTGATTCATCCACTCAGGCGAGTAAAAATATCTTGATTCATCCACTCAGGCGAGTAAAAATATCTTGATTCATCCACTCAGGCGAGTAAAAATATCTTGATTCATCCACTCAGGCGAGTAAAAATATCTTGATTCATCCACTCAGGCGAGTAAAAATATCTTGATTCATCCACTCAGGCGAGTAAAAATATCTTGATTCATCCACTCAGGCGAGTAAAAATATCTTGATTCATCCACTCAGGCGAGTAAAAATATCAGTTTCACAAACAACATTACTAAAGTATCTGCATCGTGAATACTACTATGAAATAATCCAATGTACACTTTTCCAGAATAACAATCTTTAATATCAAAGATGGCTACTTATCACACATTTTCTGATCATACAGTTCTAAAATAAAAAGCACAACTAGGAACCCAGGTAAACCTAAACATGAGACAGAAGAAGAATTTTATTGAATACTTTAATAACAAAGTATCAAAATCAAAGATGGCCACCGGTTAAAATCTTCAAAGAAAACATGAACCAAGAAACTTTTGCTTATGTATAACCATTACGTAGGTTTAGTGATGACAGAATAATCAGGAGTTGTTTACAAATCTCATCACCACTAAGTAATACCTATATCTCACATCACCACTAAGTAATACCTATATCTCACATCACCACTAAGTAATACCTATATCTCACATCACCACCAAGTAATACCTATATCTCACATCACCACTAAGTAATACCTATGTCAGATCGCTCACAAAAGGAATGTGAATCAACTTTCCTTTGTGACAGTATATAATTGTAGATAATTCATTGCCAAGACAAATAGAAACATCTGTTTAATGTTTACATGTATAATGTATATATTAAGAGTTAACAAATCTCAATTAAAAACAAGTATATATATTTGTTTGGCCTTAAAATGTACATTGTCAAACCTATCAATATATAACTTAGTTAGAACATACAAACTGTAATCATATATATATATCTAAAGATAGGTAAACCCTATCCCACACTTATTCATAAGTCATCTTTTAATTTATAGGAACCACGACAGAATCACACATTTATACGATAGAACTGCACATTGCTCACACAAATATTCGAAAGTTTTAGCCAGGGATTGAATTCCCGAGAGAAGCTGATCACGAATAAATGCAAACAGATTTTGTATATCATATATAATCATATCGTATGTCATACATCACAGTTAATTCCTGACAATAACAGCTATTCTTACCACAAGCATATATTAAGAGATGCTTGTACAGTATGATTGAGGCTGCTGGCTTAGGATTCTTCAATGTGAATTTTCCACTATTTTGGTTTCATTCACACAGTAGTAGTATTTGCTGAAGATTTTGTATAACGATATATAGTATTTATTTATAGTAGAATATTTCACTTTTAATCAAGGGTATCACAAAGAAGAATCAGGATCCTGGAACACCTATTTAACGGTGAGTTGTAACAACACTTTGATGTTACATGTGTTACATGACAAGTAACGTCTTTTTTGACTCAAACGTAATACATATTTTTGACTGCTTAAAATCAGGTATGAATATCTGTGCAATCTGGGAAATAGTGCTATATTTAGATTATGATGCAACAGAATTGAATAAAAATCAAAATAGTGGCCAAAACCCTTCAAGGGTATATGCTACCTTCTTGTTCCCAGTATATTTAGGGTGTATTTTCTATCACAAAATAAAACTTCATGAAAAAATTATGCGGTAGTTAAAAGTCACAATTAAACGTATTTATTCTTGATAAAATCTATGAAACATCTTGAACAAGGTATTTTACGTAACTGCATATAGCAGTGTCTGGAGTGTTGCTTCCCTTTCAAAATAATCAGAAAAAGAAAGAAAAAACACCATCATTTTTCACTTTTATACATCATTAAGTAAACAATAACTATGTATGAAGGAAGCTTTCACTTTCAAACAATTTTAAACTTTTGTAAATGAATACGAGCCTGACCTGTGCAGTCTTAATAGGTAAATGTATTACTAATGCCCAAGTAATATTTTGTCATCACATGTCACGTGACTTCATTTCGCATTCAAAATATGCATATTCACAAGAATAAGCAAACAGGCACAGGACTAGCTTTCGCAGTCATCTGTGTGCCAATGGAGGCAGGAGAGTATGTACATTATTGCATCCATTAAGAGTGAAATATGGAGTAATAAAAAATTATGACCAAAATCCTATAAGTATACTGGAAACATCAAGGATCATATGCCCTAAACTGTACTGGGAACAGGAAGGCAACATACACCCTTAAGTCTGCTGGAAAGAGTACACACCCTTAAATTTACTGGGAACAGGAAGGCAACATACACCCTTAAGTCTGCTGGAAAGAGTATACACCCTAAACTGTACTGGGAACAGGAAGGCAACATACATCCTTAAGTCTGCTGGAAAGAGTACACACCCTAAACTGTACTGGGAACAGGAAGGCAACATACATCCTTAAGTCTGCTGGAAAGAGTACACACCCTAAAATTTACTGGGTACAGGAACGTAGCATACACCCTTAAGTTTACTTGGAAAGAGTATACACCCTAAAATTTACTGGGAAAAGGAAGGTAGCATCCACATTTAAGTCTACTGGAAACAGCATACATCCTAAACTGTACTAGGAACAGGAAGGTAGCATACACCATTAAGTCTACTTGGAAAGAGTATACACCCTAAAATTTACTGGGAAAAGGAAGGTAGCATCCACCCTTAAGTACACATTTAGTCTACATTGAAACACATACACCCTTAACTGTGTTGGAAACAGGAAGGTAGCATACACCCTTAAGTCTACTTGGAAACAGCATACTTCTTAAACTGTACTAGGAACAGGAAGGTAGCATACACATTTAAGTCTACTGGAAGCAGTATACACCCTAAACTGTACTTGGAACAGGAAGGTAGCATACACCCTTAAGTCTACTTGGAAACAGCATACACCCATAACTGTACTGGGAACAGGAAGGTAGCATACACCCTTAAGTCTACTTGGAAACAGCATACACCCTTAAGTGTACTGGGAACAGGAAAGTAGCATATAACCTTAAGTCTACTGGAAACAGCATACACCCTTAACTGTACTAGGAACAGGAAAGTAGCATACAACCTTAAGTCTAGTGGAAAGAGTACACACCCTAAAATTTACTGGGAAGAGGAAGGGAGTATACAACATGAAGTCTACTGGAAACAGCATACACCCTAAACTGTACTGGAAACAGGAAGGTAGCATACAACCTTAAGTCCACTGGAAACAGTATACTCCCTTAACTGTACTAGGAACAGGAAGGTAGCATACACCCTTAAGTCTACTTGGAACAACAAAACACACCTGTGCATATCCATTTTTGTCATGCCACAAATTATCGTAAGGGGTCCAGTCCATTTCCACAGCCAACCCATTACTTTGAGTGGTAGAGGTGGCCCCCTGAGTGCTGACCGATGCGTTCCCAGTGGGATTAAGGCTTGGTGCCTGGTGGTTTATCGGCGTGGCCCCTTGTGGAATAAGAGGTGTAGTCCCTAAAGCGATGAGGGGTGGTGTTCCTGCAGGGTCTGCAGGGATAGGTATGAGTGGCGGAACCAACTGAGGGATCAGTGGTGCATTTCTTTGATGAACTTCAACTTTAGCTTCCATAGGTAAAGATCTACAATTAACAACAAACACAATGTGATATATGATACGTAAATACATGTGTTTTACATACATTAACTTTGAAATATAAACTTGAATTTCAGTCAATTAAGACGCCTATAGGCCTTCATAGTTACCAATGACAACCTATGATATAACAGTGGAAGCAATAGTATGAACAATTTTTAATGATTAAAACAATTCTGTATACTTTAGCAGTAATGGTAAAAAGAGACCATTGGTATCTAATTTCCCCCATATACAGTAACCTTACACATCATTAAAATGTAAGGGTAATTAGAAGAAGTTTTTTTCTCTATAAATCTCACCCCTGTGACCATGAATGTAAGTCTTGTCACAAAACAATGGTAGGCTTTATCCAATAGACATACAGGAAGAGTAAAAAAGAGTCGATTAGAAAGTGTTGTTTGAACATTTTCATAAAACTGATGCCTGTGACCTTATATTTGCATCAAGGTCAAATTTTTTTACAAATTTTGTTGGGCCTCATTCAAGGATCCTTCATGTCAAATATTGTGATTCTTGATTGTGATGATTTTGACCCGGCCAGAAGATAATAGCATTCTGTCAGCTTTCATTTGTTAACTTCCCTACAAATTTTCAGCTTAATTACAAAATACAAACAGAAGAATAAGCTTGAAATGGATTTTAAAGAAGGCTGTAATATTGCATTTGAAACTGACCCGAAAAAATAACATCCACATGTCACCTGTGTGTTTGTATTTACTGGTATAATGTTCTTGTTTGTGAATCCTTGTAGATACCTACCTGTGTAACGTCCAGGTACGTGTGTCGGCGGTTCTCTGCGTGTAAGGTCCTGGAAACAATCCAGAGTTTCCAGTAAGCCAGGATATTCCCTTATACCATTGATCCTTGCTTTGCTGGATTTCAGAGGGTTCAACATAAACAAAGTCTCCATCAATTAACTCCAATTCATCTCCCAGTTGTGGAGTATAAGCCTTCAACACCTTACGTACCTAGCAAAATACAACAGTAATAACTAACTACAGGTACTATAGTGTTAACGAAATTACAGGGAGTACAGGGTTAATGTAATTACATGGAGTAAATTAGTAACAAGATTACAGGTAATTAAGTGTTAATGAGATTACAGGTAATTAAGTGTTAATGAGATTACAGGTAATTAAGTGTTAACAAGATTACAGGAAATTAAATGTTAATGAGATTACAGGTAATACAGTGTTAACAAGATTACAGGTAGTACAGTGTTAATGAGATTACAGGTAATACAGTGTTGATAAGATTACAGGTAGTACAATGTTAAGGATATTATTTCCTCTAACTACTAATTCCAGTATACCCCCTACCTACTGATTTCAGTATACCCCCTTCCTACTGATTTCAGTATACCTCCTACCTACTGATTCCAGTATACCCCCTACCTACTGATTCCAGTATTCCCTCTACCTACTGATTCCAGTATACCCCCTACCTACTGATTCCGGTATACCCCCTACCTACTGATTCCAGTATACCTCCCACCTACTGATTCCAGTATACCCCCTACCTACTGATTCCAGTATACCCCCTACCTACTGATTCCCTCTACCTACAGATTCCAGTATACCCTCGACCTACTGATTCCCTCTACCTACTGATTCCAGTATACCCCCTATCTACTGATTCCAGTATACCTCCTACCTACTGATTCCAGTATACCCCCTACCTACTGATTCCCTCTACCTACAGATTCCAGTATACCCTCGACCTACTGATTCCAGTATACCCCCTATCTACTGATTCCAGTATACCTCCTACCTACTGATTCCAGTATACCTCCCACCTACTGATTCCAGTATACCCCCTACCTACTGATTCCCTCTACCTACAGATTCCAGTATACCCTCTACCTACTGATTCCAGTATACCCCCTACCTACTGATTCCAGTATACCTCCTACCTACTGATTCCAGTATACCTCTACCTACTGATTCCAGTATACCCCCTACCTACTGATTCCAGTATACCCTCTACCTACTGATTCCAGTATACCCCCTACCTACTGATTCCAGTATACCCCCTACCTACTGATTCCAGTATACCCTCTACCTACTGATTCCAGTATACCCCCTACCTACTGATTCCAGTATACCCCCTACCTACTGATTCCAGTATACCCTCTACCTACTGATTCCCCCTACCTACTGATTCCAGTATACCCCCTACCTACTGATTCCAGTATACCCCCTACCTACTGATTCCAGTATACCCCCTACCTACTGATTCCAGTATATACCCCCTACCTACTGATTCCAGTATACCCCCTACCTACTGATTCCAGTATACCCCCTACCTACTGATTCCACCTACTATACCCCCTACCTACTGATTCCAGTATATACCTACTGATTCCTATACCTACTGATTCCAGTATACCCCCTACCTACTGATTCCAGTATACCCCCTACCTACTGATTCCAGTATACCCCCTATCTACTGATTCCAGTATACCCCCTACCTACTGATTCCAGTATACCCCCTACCTACTGATTCCAGTATACCCCCTACCTACTGATTCCAGTATACCCCCTACCTACTGATTCCAGTATACCCCCTACCTACTGATTCCAGTATACCCCCTACCTACTGATTCCCTCTACCTACTGATTCCAGTATACCCTCTACCTACTGATTCCCTCTACCTACTGATTCCAGTATACCCCCTACCTACTGATTCCAGTATACCCCCTACCTACTGATTCCAGTATACCCCCTACCTACTGATTCCAGTATACCTACTGATTCCAGTATACCCCCTACCTACTGATTCCAGTATACCCCCCTACCTACCGATTCCAGTATACCCCCTATCTACTGATTCCAGTATACCCCCTTTCTACTGATTCCAGTATACACCCTACCTACTGATTCCAGTATACCCCCTACCTACTGATTCCCTCTACCTACTGATTCCAGTATACCCCCTACCTACTGATTCCAGTATACCCCCTACCTACTGATTCCAGTATACCCCCTACCTACTGATTCCAGTATACCCCCTACCTACTGATTCCCTCTACCTACTGATTCCAGTATACCCCCTACCTACTGATTCCAGTATACCCTCTACCTACTGATTCCAGTATACCCTACCTACTACCTCCTACCTACTGATTACTGATTCCAGTATACCCCCTACCTACTGATCCCAGTATACCCCCTACCTACTGATTCCAGTATACCCCCTACCTACTGATTCCAGTATACCCCCTATCTACTGATTCCAGTATACCCCCTATCTACTTATTCCGGTATACCCCCTACCTACTGATTCCAGTATACCTCCCACTTACTGATTCCAGTATACCCCCTACCTACTGATTCCAGTATACCCCCTACCTACTGATTCCAGTATACCCCCTACCTACTGATTCCAGTATACCCCCTACCTACCCAGTATACCCCCTACCTACTGATTCCAGTATACCCCCTACCTACTGATTCCAGTATACCCCCTACCTACTGATTCCAGTATACCCCCTACCTACTGATTCCAGTATACTACCTACTGATTCCAGTATACCCCCTACCTACTGATCTACCTACTGATTCCAGTATACCCCCTACCTACTGATTCCAGTATACCCCCTACCTACTGATTCCAGTATACCCCCTACCTACTGATTCCAGTATACCCTCTACCTACTGATTCCAGTAGATCCCCTACCTACTGATTCCCTCCACCTACTGATTCCAGTATACCCTCTACCTACTGATTCCAGTATACCCTCTACCTATTGATTCCCTCTACCTACTGATTCCAGTATACCCCCTACCTACTGATTCCAGTATACCCCCTACCTACTGATTCCAGTATACCCCCTACCTACTGATTCCAGTATACCTCCCACCTACTGATTCCAGTATACCCCCTACCTACTGATTCCAGTATACCCTCTACCTACTGATTCCAGTATACCCTCTACCTATTGATTCCCTCTACCTACTGATTCCAGTATACCCCCTACCTACTGATTCCAGTATACCCTCTACCTACTGATTCCAGTATACCCCCTACCTACTGATTCCAGATTAATTTACCTCACACTTTGCTTTGCTAATGTCACGAGAATACAATCTGAAGTCCCATTGAACATCAGCATCAAAATTGATGTCTTTGGCCATAGTAAGCAGTTTTTCATGTTGATCCGGTTGGTACTGGTATGCCAGTGTCATGTGTAACTGTTTCTTGTGTGGCTCAAACTTGATACCTGTAAAATAATTAACAGCTTCATTATCATTATATAGGAAACCACATCACACATCATTACACACATCAAGAGTCAAAACTCCTCACAAAACACACATCAGGAGTCAAAACTCCTCACAAAACACACATCAGGAGTCAAAACTCCTCACAAAACACACATCAGGAATCAAAACTCCTCACAAAACACACACATCGGGAGTCAAAACTCCTCACAAAACACACACATCAGGAGTCAAAACTCCTCACAAAACACACATCAGAAATCTAAACTCCTCACAAAACACACATCAGAAATCTAAACTCCTCACAAAACACACATCAGAAATCTAAACTCCTCACAAAACACACACATCAGGAGTCAAAACTCCTCACAAAACACACATCAGGAATCAAAACTCCTCACAAAACACACACATCAGGAATCAAAACTCCTCACAAAACACACATCAGAAATCTAAACTCCTCACAAAACACACACATCAGGAGTCAAAACTCCTCACAAAACACACACATCAGGAGTCAAAACTCCTCACAAAACACACATCAGAAATCTAAACTCCTCACAAAACACACATCAGGAGTCAAAACTCCTCACAAAACACACATCAGGAATCAAAACTCCTCACAAAACACACATCAGAAATCTAAACTCCTCACAAAACACACACATCAGGAGTCAAAACTCCTCACAAAACACACACATCAGGAGTCAAAACTCCTCACAAAACACACATCAGGAGTCAAAACTCCTCACAAATCACACATCAGGAATCAAAACTCCTCACAAAACACACATTAGGAGTCAAAACTCCTCACAAAACACACATCAGGAATCAACTCCTCACAAAACACACATCAGGAGTCAAAACTCCTCACAAAACACACATCAGGAATCAAAACTCCTCACAAAACACACACATCAGGAGTCAAAACTCCTCACAAAACACACATCAGGAGTCAAAACTCCTCACAAATCACACATCAGGAATCAAAACTCCTCACAAAACACATATCAGGAGTCAAAACTCCTCACAAAACACACATCAGGAATCAAAACTCCTCACAAAACACACATCAGGAGTCAAAACTCCTCACAAAACACACACATCAGGAGTCAAAACTCCTCACAAAACACACACATCAGAAATCAAAACTCCTCACAAAACACACACATCAGGAGTCAAAACTCCTCACAAAACACACACATCAGGAGTCAAAACTCTTCACAAAACACACACATCAGGAATCAAAACTCCTCACAAAACACACATCAGGAGTCAAAACTCCTCACAAAACACACACATCAGAAATCAAAACTCCTCACAAAACACACACATCAGGAGTCAAAACTCCTCACAAAACACACATCAGGAGTCAAAACTCCTCACAAAACACACACATCAGGAGTCAAAACTCCTCACAAAACACACACATCAGGAGTCAAAACTCCTCACAAAACACACATCATCATAGACATGAGTATATTATATTGTTATTGTTGTACACTGTAACTGTAACACGAGGCCAAAGGACCTTAACTGCCATCTGAGTCAAAATGCTTCTTGTAACATGTCACAGAAATAATCTTGTTAAAAAAAGTAAGATAACTTTAACTACATTGTACACATAACACAAATGTAAACAGTGCATAACATTAACTGCTGTTCTCTGCTAAGGCTTCTTATCAAGTTTGAATTAAAGAGGAAATTACACCCAAAAACACAGTTTTTCTATTTAAATTCTTCGTTCCAGGAACAGCGTTCAATAGATTCTATCACATCACTAAAAAAATAACGAAAGCTATTTGCTTCATGAAAGGCTTACCCTTTCATTAGTTGATGTTGTTCTCACAAATTGCCCTAACCTATGTTTTAGACCAATTTTAACGGTGGTCTTAGTGACTCTCACAATTTTACAAAAGGTACAGCACCTTGCTTTCCAAGAGGGAAGTGTAAATTCTGTAGTTTTGAGAATTTTGAACAGGAAAATTTTCCTTTTGTTTCATCTAATAATGTCCCTTTCCATGTGGTTTATGTTTTTGAAAAGCCTGATGATATTTACTGGGCTCATGATCAGCTGATCAGAGACGTTATTCACTCTAATACACCTGTAAAGGAACGTAAACCTCTAGTAAATAAACCTCCTTTTTAAAATGGAAATCACCGAAGGGTGGCTTATAAGGAAGATATATTACGTAGTAAGTACAACTGAATGAAAACAGCTGGGAAGCCTAAAGAAAGCAAAGAAATTTCGCTGAAAAACTAAGGAGGCAGCTTGTGCAGATATATTTTCAGGAAAGATGCAGTGATGGTTCAGCTTCTAACGATTTTTGGCCTACTGTAAAGCCATTTTTTTACCAAATAAATGTTTCAAAGGATCATGCATAACATTTGGAAGTTTACAAGAATATCATCATATTTTCTCTACTTATGACATTTATCTTGAATCATCTTACTGTTTCTTTTAATGTCCCTTGACCAGATGGTCAGTGAACATCATTGTATATAATGCAGTGTTTTATAGTCATGTTTGTCACAATAATAGCACTACAGTGCTAATGTAGTGTTTACCATAAGTGACTTTAAACAAAGCTTCTTGACTCTTGTTATCGGGGTATTGGGAAGATCTTCGAATTCCGAGTCAATTTGACCTCCCTTCGACCATGCTGTCCACACCCATGGGGTCAGCCAGGATCAAGACATCATCAAACTGCCATCTTATACTAATAATTCTAACCAAGTTTGAATTACTTCCAATAGAAAACAAACAAACTATGGTGAAAAATGTAATTTTCCAATACAAACCTATACTAAATCTTACACACATCTTAAATATCTGTAAAGCATCTAAAGGCTTTTCCATCTATATACAGTATTTCATTCTACCTTGCCTGGGTATTGAGAAGAAGATTTTTGAAGTTAAAATCAATTTGACCCTTCAGATGGCCCAGGACCTCAGGCCCCATGTAAGAAGTGGGTTTTAGGGACTGTATAATTTACCATTTGTTGCGCCTTTTGGCCATTTCGTTGAAATTGGTTCACCAGTTTTTCAAAAGAAGTCCAAAATGTTAAAAGTCAACGGTGAACAATGCCAGACAAAAGGAAATCGCAAATAATCAATAAAAAATGACTGTTTGCTTGACTCACCTGAATTTTTCAGTTCTTCTCCAACTTGATTTGTGATATCTGACAGATACCTGTAGAAATCCTCCTGTAAAAACAATCCAATAAAATTCATCTGACTGAAAAAGTCAAGTTTCAATTTGCCTGGAGCCTGGCGTAGCTTAGTTTCCAGCTTCAGGACAGCACAGGTTACATCATGGGTCTTAGCATCCTCCACCTAAAATAAAGAAGGGAGAATGCAAAGTGAATAGATTAAACATAACAGGGGGAAAAGTGAATAGATAAACATACCAGGGGGAAAAGTGAATAGATTAAACATACCAGGGGGAAAACTGAATAGAATGGGGGGTAGGGTGGGAGGGGGAATAGAATAGATAAACATAACAAGGGGAAGAAGTAAATAGAATACTGAATAGAAAGGAAGGAAAGCGAATAAAAAAACATTCTGAAATAATTTCTGTATGGGGCCTAGGTCCTGTACTAAAATGGAAATCAGATAAACTGTCTAATGTCCTATAGCCCGAGATGTCACTCCTTCCTGGTTTATAAGCATTCCTTTTATCCAGATATGCTTCAGATAAAAATGTGACAGAATCCTGACATTCCAACAAAATAAAGATTTGAAATGATTTGCTCTATTTCACCCATTGGGCTACACCCCTCATGTCCCAGGGGGTTTAGACCCAATGTTTATACAAAATAGATTCCCTTTCACCCTAGAAAGCTCTTAGAAAATTGGGGTAGAAGAATCCAGGCAATTCCTGGATGACAGGGAGGACAGACAGTGAATGGTACAGCTATAGATATGATGACAGGGAGGACAGATGGTGAATGGAACAGCTATAGATATGATGACAGGGAGGACAGATGGTGAATGGAACAGCTATAGATATGATGACAGGGAGGACAGATGGTGAATGGAACAGCTATAGATATGATGACAGGGAGGACAGACAGTGAATGGTATATCTACAGTATATAGTTTGATCTTAATCATCTGAGATATATGTAATAAGAATAGTATGAAAATATTCTTAAAATATTCTAAATAAAAATGCATTCAATTTTAAAAATGATAGTGAAATATGGTCACTTACCGTGAAAAAGGGACAAAGTGTAATATGTGGGAAGTAAGCATGTGATCCGTTCCAGCCACAGCTGTTGAGAGACTTCTCAGCGAATTCTACAATCTCTTTCTGCAGCGCCCCCTTGGGGCAGAGATACAGAATATACTCTCTGGAATTATTCTTGTCTAGGTGAGGGTCATTCACATGTGACAGGAGCCTGTTACAAAAGTAGCAAATCTATGTTACTTCCTCAACATAAGAACACATCTACTGATCTGAGATCAGAGGTCAAAGGTCAGAGGAAGTGTAAGAAGTACAAACTATTGCTGACTCTTCAGTGACTTTTTGGAATCCAACATGGATCCTGGACTCATGCTTTTACTCTGGGCTCAGATTTTGAGAACCAACTATCTCTGGATATTTGGATTCTTCAAATTATTCAAAATGTTGATTTGGACTTGCCTGAAAATACTCTACAATAAACACACTATTTTATAGACAATTAATCCTAATTACCAGTCAGAGGCCAGCTGTACTCCACAGTCTCCTGTTGATGCTATAGCCTTCTCCCTGCAATAATAACATTATTGTACAAAACACAGTATTACAGAACTTTAATGATGAGTATTAGTATTTGAACACAATTATCATAAATATTAACAGATGTACAATTTTATATTTAGTAACTAAGAAATTAGAATTTGATACTCTGTTGTTTTTATTACATATTGACAACATTTGCCCTAAGAGTTACAGAAATTTATGAAAAACAAAAATATTCTTAACATGAAAAATATTAGGGGGGGGGGGATGTTGGTGATCAGATGCACAAAATAAATTCCCCTTAAAACCATGCTTCACACCAAACTGGAACAGAATCCAGCTTATACAGAAGAATAATTTTTAAGAAAAGTGCCCTTTTTGGCTCTGTCCTTCCTTCCCTTATGGCTCCTGACCAAAGGTTTTACAAAATTGTTTCCCCTTTGCACAATAATGCTTCAGATCAAATCAGTACCGTATTCAGGCATTCTTAAAGAAGAAGAAGAGTTTTATAGAATTCGCCATATCTCCCCCATCAGGCCTACCTCTTCAAACCCCATGAGACTAAAACCAAATGTTTCTAAGATGCTTCAGACCGATTTGAGACAGAATCCAGCCATTCCTACTGAAGAAGGATTATAAACAATTTGCTCTATTTCCCATAACTGGCCTTGCCCCTTCCACCCCAAGGAGTCAACACCAAGTTTATACAACATGGATTCTTATTCACCTTAAAGATACTTCACACCCAATTGAGACAGAATCTATGCACTTCCACAAAATATCAATTTTAGATAATTATCTGTTTCCTAAATTGGGCCCCATCCTTCAAGCCACTGGGAGTGATGACTGACCATTTGTAAAAAAATTGATTCACTTTCAACTAAGGATACTTCAGACTAAAGCTGGACAGAATGCAGGTATTCCTCCTGTAGAAGAAAGATTTAAAATTTTTCCAAAACCTTTTTTTTGGCCATGACCTCCATCATGCCACAGGGTATTCAAACAAACCACAAAATTGGACAAATACAGTATGAAGACACTGATCAAGAAAAAAAGGAGCTAATCCAGTGTACTGTACAAAAACCAGTGAGCTGATCCAGTGTACTGTACAAAAACAGTGAGCTGATCCAGTGTACAGTACAAAAACAGTGAGCTGATCCAGTGTACTGTACAAAAACAGTGAGCTGATCCAGTGTACAGTACAAAAACAGAGATCTGATCCAGTGTACTGTACAAAAACAGAGAGCTGATCCAGTGTACTATACAAAAACAGAGAGCTGATCCAGTGGACAGTACAAAAACAGTGAGCTGATCCAGTGTACTGTACAAAAACAGAGAGCTGATCCAGTGTACTGTACAAAAACAGAGAGCTGATCCAGTGTACTGTACAAAAACAGAGAGCTGATCCAGTGTACTGTACTGTACAAAAACAGAGAGCTGATCCAGTGTACTGTACAAAAACAGTGAGCTGATCCAGTGTACTGTACAAAAACAGTGAGCTGATCCAGTGTACTGTACAAAAACAGTGAGCTGATCCAGTGTACTGTACAAAAACAGATCCAGTGTACTGTACAAAAACAGAGAGCTGATCCAGTGTACAGTACAAAAACAGAGAGCTGATCCAGTGTACTGTACAAAAACAGAGAACAGTGTACTGTACAAAAACAGAGAGCTGATCCAGTGTACAATACAAAAACAGAGAGCTGATCCAGTGTACTGTACAAAAACAGAGAGTGTACAGAGTACAAAAACAGAGAGCTGATCCAGTGTACTGTACAAAAACAGAGAGCTGATCCAGTGTACTGTACAAAAACAGAGAGCTGATCCAGTGTACTGTACAAAAACAGAGAGCTGATCCAGTGTACTGTACAAAAACAGAGAGCTGATCCAGTGGACAGTACAAAAACAGAGAGCTGATCCAGTGTACTGTACAAAAACAGTGAGCTGATCCAGTGTACTGTACAAAAACAGAGAGCTGATCCAGTGTACTGTACAAAAACAGTGAGCTGATCCAGTGTACTGTACAAAAACAGAGAGCTCATCCAGTGTACTGTACAAAAACAGAGAGCTGATCCAGTGTACAGTACAAAAACAGAGAGCTGATCCAGTGTACTGTACAAAAACAGAGAGCTGATCCAGTGTACTGTACAAAAACAGAGAGCTGATCCAGTGTACAATACAAAAACAGAGAGCTGATCCAGTGTACTGTACAAAAACAGAGAGCTGATCCAGTGTACTGTACAAAAACAGAGAGCTGATCCAGTGTACTGTACAAAAACAATGAGTTGATATAGTGTACTGTACAAAAACAGTGAGCTGATCCAGTGTACAGTACAAAAACAGTGAGCTGATCCAGTGTACTGTACAAAAACAGTGAGCTGATCCAGTGTACTGTACAAAAACATTTGGGACGAACGTCCTCAGTCTGGATGGTGTACTTGAATCCCTATATTTGGGGAGAACGTCCTCAGTCTGGATGGTGTACTCACATCCCTACAATTGGGGACGTCCTCAGTGTGGATGGTGTACTCACATCCCTACATTTGGGGACGACGTCCTCAGTCTGGATGGTGTACTCACATCTCCTCATTTGGGGACGACGTCCTCAGTTTGGATGGTGTTCTTACATCCCTACATTTGGGGACGTCCTCAGTCTGGATGGTGTACTCACATCCCTACATTTGGGGACGTCCTCAGTCTGGATGGTGTACTCACATCCCTACATTTGGGGACGTCCTCAGTGTGGATGGTGTACTCACATCCCTACAATTGGGGACGTCCTCAGTGTGGATGGTGTACTCACATCCCTACATTTGGGGACGTCCTCAGTGTGGATGGTGTACTCACATCCCTACATTTGGGGACGTCCTCAGTCTGGATGGTGTACTCACATCCCTACATTTGGGGACGTCCTCAGTCTGGATGGTATACTCACATCCCTACATTTGGGGACGTCCTCAGTGTGGATGGTGTACTCACATCCCTACATTTGGGGGCGTCCTCAGTGTGGATGGTGTATATGTAAAATACTTGACTAACAGTGACAAAGGAGGTTAAATCTGCTTGATGAATAAACTTACTGAGTAGACAAATTACTCTACCCTTTTCATAACATCCAGGAAGGTAAAAATAGCCCTGACCTTATTCAGGATCAGTACAGATAGCAAACGGACCTAGCCATGGTATAAACATATATTACATTTATCAATGGTACAGAGGATCTAGACCGATGTAAAATCTCTATCTGTACTATCGTATTTTCATATTTCTCCTTGAACCACAAGACATGTACATAACATGATGTTTGACAGACGATGGACCAATGTATGCTGGAATATTGTAACCGCGATTTTACTTCCTCTCCTTACTTGGTATCGATTATCGACCGCGCATCACTAATCAGATCGACGCAGTATCGATTATTATTTTACGTTTACTTTGTCCTGAAATATTAATAACAAAAGAGATATAAATAAGATATGTTTTGATGAAGATCGTGACGTGATCTGTGTCGGTGACTCATGTCAACAACCTGATGGCTGTTGACACCCAACAAAGTGGTCGAGCTTGGAGCACATACCTCTGTTAACAAAGCGCAGGACATTTTGAAATTACTCACGCTCGTTGTTTAGAGAATCCCATCTGTAACAAAATTTCTCGGTCGGACTTCGATTTTTGACGTTTGATAGATTCATCTCTCCGATGTCTCGTCGGCAGTACACCAGAAGCCATCTTACTTCCTTAAACGTAAGGGAGATAACTCATTAAAACTGACACGAGCTTTAAAGAATAGTTAGCTTGAAGTCTTTTAGTTTTGGATTCGAGTTATCTAGTATGATACTGTTCTGACGTGTTACAATGCTTTATTAGATTATTTAAAGAACGAACATGTATATATAGCCCAGTTTTGAATCGTGGATAGAATATTGTCTTGTGCTCTAGAATCGGGTATTTATTTAACGGTTGCAAGTCCACTAAAATGGCCGTTTGGCCTTTAAGCGGACGGGAAAAGATAGGGAGATGAGTAGAGAGGAAATATGAAGCGATGAGAGAGAAAGTGGGATACCGAAACTAGGCCCAATGGAGACTGGTCATTGCCTTTTGTGTTTGTTCACTGGACTGTGAAGTCATCAAAGCCATATTCTAATGTTAGATTGAAATTTAGACCGGCCTGCCTCACCAGAGCCATTTTGTCGGCCAGTGAGCTGTGAAACTCATTTTCGTATGAAACATGTTACTAATAAATCAAAATAGCGTATCACAAAACTTACACAAGTCTGAAAATCAGTAAGCTTCTGATCCCTCTGTCTAATACGTTTCTATCCAGATCACGAACTAAGATATATATGTCACAGGGTACAATTGTAATACAACTAGGTAATTGTATACTAATTAGATAATGTGTATACACTACGATGGTCATGTGTTGGAAAGTACACATGAACTTGTATTGTCTATTGTAAGTGTCCTGTATAACTTGAGTTCGTCACTGTCCGTACGTCGATGTGTAGTGTCCGTGTCTGTCCATATAGTTACCGGTTTATGTGTCCAGGTCCCACTTGTATAAAACATCTTAACTTGAGATTTCCTCAAGTCGAGATTTTCCTCAACTGATATCTCCTTAAAAACGGCTCGTATAAAATTTTCTCAAGGAATAGGAGGAAGTAATCGGCTAGGATGTCCTGAAATTCCTTGAGGAATTCCATACAAGATATTTTCAAGGAGATATCAGCTGAGGGAAATCTCGACTTGAGGAAATCTCAAGTTGAGATGTTTTATACAAGTAGGGCTAGGTATGTAATGTGAGAGGTGAGAATATCGTGCGAGAATGAGTGAGCTTTTCAATAAAACTATTAGTTCGCAGTCATTCGGCGCATACGGCCACGGAACGACCACGGGACGCATCCTCCGGAGTCCCTACGGTAGACGTTTATATATTGTATACTCGACACGACCACGTCGTTGAAGGTAACTACACTGAATATTATAGCAATAAAAAGTAATTTTCTGTAACTGAATTAACTATATCAGTGTATCGAGAGTTACATAGTATAAATATATATAGTTTGTTTGATTAAGGCCACACTTTCATATCGCAGGGTTTTTTCTTCTATGCGTCTGACATGACTGACAGGGGAATAAACTAAGTAGCAGCAAACATGCCTTGATTTATTTTTGCTACGACATATATATTGTATATATGAATTGTTTCGGCATCGGCTCTGGATCTTTATGTATGTAAAGGTTAGATTGTATTAAGTGAAATCTTCAGGGTTTTGAAATGGGCGGAGCGAAGCGTATATATATATCTCTGATACATCTAACCAATTTAGACGGCCACATGCATTTAAGCTTTGACCCTGCTCCCACCACCCTTGCTGGTGTCAGCTCCGGTGTTCTGACTGAAATGGTTAACCGATGTAATGCAATACGTTGATTGAAAGAGGCTGAAAAAGGGCAGTATTTGCTGTTTGTTCCCGATCATATAGTTCATCGTTAAGAAAATTATTCCGGTTTAAGCATGTCGGATTATGTGAGCGAGGCAGATTTTAATATTGTGACTGATCTCATACAGCAAGAGGAACGATCAGTTAAGATACCCCTTGCGGACAATTTTAAGGACGATTTTAACGATATTTTGAAAACAGAATGTGATGATATTACTTTGACACAGTTGGAACATTCTATTCCGACACAGTCGTTATCGGCATTTGGAAATGAAACAAAACAAAATTCTACAAGATTTGGTCCCGCTGTTACATCAGACGATGTCGCAAAGAAACCTATGGAAAGGATTCCGAAAAAAATCTAGGACTAACACTTAGTGGTGTGTTTCGATATGGAATGCCTGGTTGGCGATTGCAAAATATCGGAAGACTCGTACATTTGTGATTGGCCATCAGCCAATCAGAGCTTTAGTTACGTCATCTTATGAAATCATCATCACCACGAAGACCTATCTTCAGCATGAGGGTCAGTTTCTACAGGTATATGTCACAGTCAATCCTCGGCTCTGATTGGCTGGAACGTATGAAAATACCAAAACTGCCGTCTAACAACATATTAAACCGAATATTGAAAATTATATACATGAGCAATGAATTACCTTTAATCTGCATTCATGGGCAATGTGAATGCCAACTGTGAAATTCAATTTGAAGATTTATCATTTAGCTATGAGGAATACATATAATGATGGTTGTCAGAAAAATATCTAGGGGGAACGAGGTTTATATTTAACAATATTTAGCAATAACGGACATCAAGAGATCAAGACAGTAATGATATAAGAATTTACCCATTGGTTTTGCCCCATCAAAGAACTTAAGTGACAGAGCTTTAATTTGGAAATATTTAAAATATCCAACCCATAGGCATGTATGACATTGGTGGGCTTTCAGATCCAGAGCGTTACAGACCTTATGGGCCTCTTGTTTTTGTACACGTTCTATAAAGCCTGATGCTTTCTGCTACATGTGACATAATAAATGAAATGATAGAGTGACTGATTTTTTTCTTTCTGTTTTGTATTCTAATGAGCCAAAGACTGGTTCCTGATATAATGTTGAGCCAAGACTTGTATGCATTGTAATTGTTGTCAGTAAACTGTCAAGGATTCAAGGCTTCCAGGATGATGGATTCTGACCAGTTGTATTTCTGAGTAATCATTTATCAGAGGGGAACTATATAGTCTTTGGCCTTTTACATAAAGTGTAAAGGGAGGTACGTGTGTGGCACAAAGTATGGGTACTACTGAATTTGACTTAAAAAAAAAGATGCAGAACATTTGAAAGTAAAAGAACACACAGTATGAAATTATTATATGCCCCTCTCCATAATATTTCGGAATACAATACACCTACATACTATTCTAATGATTTTCATCAATGTATATCCTTCCTAATATTTCATATAACTGTTCTCTAGATACTATTCTGATAACCGTCATGGATGTATCCCCCTCCTAGTATATATATAGAGGTAGGAGGACACACAGAGTGTCGCCCAGTAGATATATATAGGTAGGAGGATACACAGAGTGTCGCCCAGTATAGATATATATAGAGGTAGGAGGATACACAGAGTGTCGCCCAGTATATATAGAGAGGTAGGAGGATACACAGAGTGTCGCCCAGTATATATATAGAGGTAGGAGGATACACAGAGTGTCGCCCAGTAGGTATATAGAGGTAGGAGGATACACAGAGTGTCGCCCAGTAGATATATATAGAGGTAGGAGGACACACAGAGTGTCGCCCAGTAGATATATAGAGGTAGGAGGATACACAGAGTGTCGCCCAGTAGGTATATAGAGGTAGGAGGACACACAGAGTGTCGCCCAGTATATATATAGGTAGGAGGATACACAGAGTGTCGCCCAGTATATATATAGAGGTAGGAGGACACACAGAGTGTCGCCCAGTATATATATAGGTAGGAGGATACACAGAGTGTCGCCCAGTATATATATAGAGGTAGGAGGATACACAGAGTGTCGCCCAGTATATATATAGGTAGGAGGATACACAGAGTGTCGCCCAGTATATATATATAGGTAGGAGGATACACAGAGTGTCGCCCAGTATATATATAGGTAGGAGGATACACAGAGTGTCGCCCAGTATATATATAGGTAGGAGGATACACAGAGTGTCGCCCAGTATATATATAGAGGTAGGAGGATACACAGAGTGTCGCCCAGTATATATATAGGTAGGAGGATACACAGAGTGTCGCCCAGTATATATATAGAGGTAGGAGGATACACAGAGTGTCGCCCAGTAGATATATATAGGTAGGAGGATACACAGAGTGTCGCCCAGTATATATATAGGTAGGAGGATACACAGAGTGTCGCCCAGTATATATATAGGTAGGAGGATACACAGAGTGTCGCCCAGTATATATATAGGTAGGAGGATACACAGAGTGTCGCCCAGTATATATATAGGTAGGAGGATACACAGAGTGTCGCCCAGTATATATATAGGTAGGAGGATACACAGAGTGTCGCCCAGTAGATATATAGGTAGGAGGATACACAGAGTGTCGCCCAGTAGATATATATAGGTAGGAGGATACACAGAGTGTCGCCCAGTAGATATATATATAGGTAGGAGGATACACAGAGTGTCGCCCAGTATATATATAGGTAGGAGGATACACAGAGTGTCGCCCAGTAGGTATATATATAGGTAGGAGGATACACAGAGTGTCGCCCAGTATATATATAGAGGTAGGAGGATACACAGAGTGTCGCCCAGTAGATATATATAGGTAGGAGGATACACAGAGTGTCGCCCAGTAGATATATATATAGGTAGGAGGATACACAGAGTGGCCCAGTATATATATAGAGTGTCGCCCAGTATATATATAGGTAGGAGGATACACAGAGTGTCGCCCAGTATATATATAGGTAGGAGGATACACAGAGTGTCGCCCAGTATATATAGAGGTAGGAGGATACACAGAGTGTCGCCCAGTATATATATAGGTAGGAGGATACACAGAGTGTCGCCCAGTATATATATAGGTAGGAGGATACACAGAGTGTCGCCCAGTATATATATAGGTAGGAGGATACACAGAGTGTCGCCCAGTATATATATAGGTAGGAGGATACACAGAGTGTCGCCCAGTATATATATAGGTAGGAGGATACACAGAGTGTCGCCCAGTATATATATAGGTAGGAGGATACACAGAGTGTCGCCCAGTAGGTATATAGG